GCACTCGTTACTTGTCACATCACAAACAACTTTTGTCATCATATCTTTGTAAGTACATTTCATTTGTATAGCATTGGTCAAGAGTATTGCATTTTGATGGAGGGTACATACACAAACAGAATGAGTGCCTGATGCTCCAACAGTTATACACCATTTTGGTCTTAAACTGCAAAACTTAGAAAATCCAATAACTTCTTGAGGATATTTAGTTTTAAAAGAAACATAAAGTTCTTTAAGATTACATAAAATAAGACGCTTTTGCATGTGTTGTTTTCTACCAATACTTACGTAATCTTTTTTACCAGGCATTTGTCTAGTAAATTCTTCATCATGGTATATATTGTTGACTCTATTTAATGTTATTTCTGAAAATGTTTTTCCTTTCTTAGTGCCTGGAACTGAAAAAATCCCACTCATTTTCTTTAGTTTGCGCGCTTCTTTAATTTGGTATATAGTGACATTGAAATATCTTGCAGCAAAATTTCTTGACCAAGACTCGGGTGTAAATGTTAATAACTGAATTTTAGTTTTTTGGTCAGAAACAATTAACTTTTCTTTTATTTCTGCTGTTAGTTTGTCTAAATCATCACATTTACTTTTGTCAATAATTTTCATTATTCAAAAAAGATTTTACAATAATTTTTTATCAACAATATTTACCTTTGATTGCTTTTTTTTTTGATTTATGCTTGTCCAATAAATTGCAACATTTTGTGTGCTTCTTTTCAAAGTGTGTACCAAAAATCTTTTCATGATGAAGGCAGATTGTTAAAATTTTATCATCTGTTATTCCAGATCTCCAAATAAATTCTTCTCTGGCATCTTCTCTATAGCAATCAAATTTCTTTAAATCAATCTTTCTACAATAACTTAGTTTATGACAAGTATCATTTAATTTTTTTCCAAAATCACATGAATCCATTCTTACTGTAACACTAAAAACATTTTGATATTAGTTTAAAAATGAGAAACTAATAGTAATTAATTCAATGAAAGCAACTTAAGCAATCACCATGGTAATACAAAACTAAATAGTGATTGATTTCTTTTATCTTACTTTGACAAAAAGAAAGTTTCCTTTTCACAAAGTTTAATTATAATCAATTTGTTAATGTTAAAAATGTTAATGATGACTTTAATAGGTAATAAATTTCTTCTATACTAGTGTAATGACAGGATGTTTTTTGTTACTGTAAATAGTTCTTATTTAATAAAATAACTTGCTGTTAACATTTTAGAATTAGCAAATATCAAATAAAATAATGATTTTGAAAAATTGATAAATTTCTTTTTTATTGATATAATGTTATGACAGGATGTTTTTTTCTGTTGAAAGTTAATTAAACAACTTGCTGTTACCATTTTAGCATTAAAATATATTAATCTTTTTTAAATTAAAATTTTAAATTATACAAAATAAAATTATGGTAAAACCATTATTTTAGACTGTTTTTAATCTTATACATGCAAATCAAAATTCTTATAAACATTAACTTTCTTAAAACATTTTAAGAAAGATCATTGAACATAGAATGATCATAAACCAAATTGAATAAATATAAATCACAAAAATTTGTGGAAGCAATGTTACCAAAGATATGTTTAACATTGTTAAAAATAAAAATCTAAAAAAAAATTCTGAAGACAATAGTTTCATGTGTTAAAATGTGTTTAAAAAAAAAAAAAAAAAATTTTTTGAGAAAATAAGTGGGGCATGGTCCCTGGTGCCCCAGCCCCATGGACCTTCTAGTCGTCTGACCTGAAACTATTTTAAAGCATGTTCATCAGGACTACACAAATGCTGAAAGTTTCAAAGCTCACGCTTGTCTGGAAGATACTGAAAAATCCATCTCAAGATTCCGGTCAAAAAAGTGGGGCACATCCCCCAGCCCCCTCCCCTAGTGTCTTGGGCCCTTTTTTAATTTTAAAATGCACATTTATTGACACTACATAAATACCAAAATTTTCATCGTTCCAGCTAGCCTGAAAGGTAGTGAAAAATGTATGGCAAGATTCTGCTACAATATAGTGGGGCATGTGCCCCGTTAACCATATATGGAAATCCATATACTTGCAGATCAAAATTTTTATGTTTTCTGAAAGGTCATTAAACATAGAATAATGTGTACAATTTTTTTTTTTTATATCATCAAGGCCACATGGCTTTCTTGAGCATCAAAACCAGGTATATAAAAAATTGCCTAAATTTATTTAAATTGATAATTACAAGTACTTAAATTTTTTTTTTTACATTTCTGATTATTTCATTGGATTCTTCGACCCTGAAAATAGCCAGGTACAAGTTTTTAAGTTAAAAGATCAAATATTTTTAAAGCTATGTGACTTGGAACCTTTAAACAAAGGTCACACTTCTGAGGGGACAAGAGGGGCCTGGCCAAGATCAGTTAAAAGTAAAATGATCATATTTCATGATCCTCTTGGAGCTAGAAGCTAAAATTTTCAAGGAATTTTTGTTTTACTAAGTACTCTCAACTGTATAAAAATCAGCAAAATCTGAGATGTATGGTGACATTTTTGAAATTTTCTGGCTCAATTGACATGGAATTACCCGTGTTTAAATATTCTAATAACACAATAATGTAGAATAAACATAAACTTACTTCATATAATGTTCTGAACGCATTTCTCGATTAAACACGGACAACACCGATGTGTAGCCAGTCACACATTGCAAGTTAAGATATTTGTAAACATTTTTTCATACTGTTTTATATATATATATATATATATATATATATATATATATATATATATATATATATATATATATATATATATATATATATATATATATATATATATTTATACCTAATAATAAATATTATTTTTATGAATTATATTTTATCAACTATAAAATCAAATTTTTTTTTTTTTTAATGTCAAGCGACAAATAAATAAAAATTGTATAACATTTACATTTAACATTCAAGATAAAATCTTAAAAATAGTTTGTTTGTTTTTTAATCAGATAATAAAAAAATATTTTTTCAAAAATGGCTGCCAGTTTACTGAAAATTAGTTAAAAAGTCACATAGAAACATCACAGATAAACTCATACTTATCTTTTACTTCATTTATAAAAAAAATCCCATAAATAGTCCTAAGTGTGTTAGGTCCATATTTCGTTAGAGATTTTAAAGTTAATTCATTATTTTAGGTTTTAAGACTTTTTGAAAATCGCATTTCTCGATTAAACACGGACAACACCGATGTGTAGCCAGTCACACATTGCAAGTTAAGATATTTGTAAACATTTTTTCATACTGTTTTATATATATATATATATATATATATATATATATATATATATATATATATATATACCTAATAATAAATGTTATTTTTATGAAATATATTTTATCAACTATAAAATTAAATTTTTTTTTTTTAATGTCAAGCGACAAATAAATAAAAATTGTATAACATTTACATTTAACATTCAAGATAAAATCTTAAAAATAGTTTGTTTTTTAATCAAATAATAAAAAAATATTTTTTTAAAAATAGCTGCCAGTTTACTGAAAATTAGTTAAACTCATACTTATCTTTTACTTCATTTATAAAAAAAATCCCATAAATAGTCCTTAGTGTGTTAGGTCCATATTTAGTTAGAGATTTTAAAGTTAATTCATTATTTTAGGTTTTAAGACTTTTTGAAAATCAAAAATGTAATTTTTTACAAGAAAAAATAAGATAACTCAAGATATACTTACCAACTTTCAAAATCTCTTGCTAAAAAGAAAGATATTAATGCAAGTATCAATTTCAAATGTAAAACTGTGTGTATAGAAGAGTTAACATAGTGGTTTATTGAGCATCTTTTTGTAGACTTATTTATTATGATTAAAATAATACGAAGAATATGTAAAAATACATATATTCTTCCATGAACATAAAATACAACTCCTATTTCAACATATTAACACATTAAAACAATCAATATTTGAGCAATTAAGCCATGATCCTTGGTTACATAACTGCATATTTTAGTGTAGACTGAACAAAACGTAAAAATATTCCAGTCTACACGACATTTAGTTTTAAGAGTTGCGCAAACAATTCGCGCTGAAAGTTTTTTGGCCAAAACTTAACGGCATGAACGCGTCTGTTTACAGTGAATATTGAGAATGATAAGATTGGACCCTCATTTTCAATCACGAGGTCAATGAAAAAAGAAACAGTACTAAGTATTTTAAGAAATTTTTTAAGTAAAATCACATATAGAGGGAACAGTTTTTTAAGTAGTTTGTCTTGTATAGTTACAAATTATTTTTTAAATATAAACACTAGTGTGATCTAAGTAGAAGGTTTGATGCTTATGTTTTACTTAATTTCTTTCCAAGTATTTTTTCCATAATTGAGACTGCTATTTAAAAAAGGCGAATAGTACGTTTTTTTACAATATCTTAACAAATTGCTAATTTTTTTTTCTGTATAACTTAAATTTAGTAAATAATAAATTTTTGGAAAACACATTTGATCTTGTAAATTTTATAAAGTATGTTTTTAGATTAGCAGGAATAGATTTAAAAATATCAGAAGTTATCTAGGGTTTAGCTTAGGTTTAGAAGTTATCTAGGGTTTAGCTTAGGTTTAGAAGTTATCTAGGGTTTAAAAAAAATACTTAAGCAAAAGTAAGAGTACGCATTTAAAAAAATACTTAAAAAGTAGAAATTCTCAAAATAACTACTCAATTACAGTAACGTGAGTAAATGTAATTCGCTACTTTCCACCTCTGAAACTTTCCACCCCTAATGTAATGATTATTTTATTGTCACTTACACCACTACAACAACACACATTGAGTTAATATTAGTATCACCACAAGTAAAAGAATATAACGCTAATGTAAGAAATATATTAGTACATTTGTGCGTTGTAGGTGATAAACTTAAATCAATAATTAAACTAAAAAATTAAAATGGAAACCTTAAAAACGTTAAAAAAACCTTGAAAACCTTAAAAAAAACACAAAGAAATATTTTAGAACTTTTTTTTTCATGCTTAACATATGTTAAAATGTTTTAATTTCAAAATGTTTAAATTGTTCTAATGACTTCTTTTTTTTAAATGAACAAAAGCATGGTCGATAATATTTTTTTGATGTTGTTGTCCATCGTTCCTAAGTTTTGCAATTTTTTGAAAACTGATTGTTCTCTTTTCTTCATTCGTATCTATCAACTCAATCTGATCTGGCTTTTTATGACAACTTGAACTACAGTTACATGATTGAATATCATGGAATATGGTAGTATACCTATAACCATCTTCACACACCATTGGCACATTAAAGGAAACAACACGTAAAGGTTGACAACAGGAACAGCTAGGTGTAAACACTCTCTTACCAACTGCAGCTTTTATTGTCGAATCACAAAAACCACCGCATCCTGTAATCAAATATTTCTTAGTTGATTCGCATCTTCCTAGCTCAGAATCTTCTTCAACTAATTTTTCCATACCAAATACTTTTCGGTCACAAAATGGTTTTTCGGAAGGTACTAAAAACGGGCAAATATTCTATAAAAATTTATAACAAAAACAAATTTGTTAACAAAAAACAATTGTAAACTAATAAGCAATAAAAAGATATTAAAGCATTGTCTCTTAGAACAATCTCAAAATAGTTTTAAAAGAATTTAAATTCATAAAAAAAACGTACTGCAATTTGGACAACACTGATTTGGACGAGTAACTGATATATATCCAGAAGGACACGGTTGACACACTTCTGACTTTGCTTCTATCTGAGCGCTGGTATTAGACGGATAGCAAGGGTTAGAAACAAGTGTACAGGTAAAGTTGGTACATTTACGAGCGTCTTGCCAACTTTCACCAACCCCATACAAGCTTCCTCTATAGAAACAAGCAGGGCAAACTAAAAAAAAAATGAAATAAACATACTAAAACATAATAAAAAAAATTCTTTGTGGTCTCAATATTTTTCAACCAATTTAATTCAATTAATTACAATTCCATCAAAAAATTATAAATAAAAAATTACCTTAATAAGGCATCAGTGATGCCTAATTAAAGTATTTTAATGAAATTTAAAACAAAAAACTTAAAAAAATAAAACAACTTACAAACTGAAGATGTTGGAACAACTGATATAGAAGAAATAGATGGCAAAATTGAATATTTTAACGTTGATGAAAAAGTACCAAAATGAGATGAAAATGTTGAAATAGAAAACAACCTTAAAGTAGATTGTGGGCCAGGATTGCTTGAAAAAGCTTCTGAAGTTGCCACTTTAGAAATATAAGAAGTTCCAAGCGAAATAGTACTAAATGATTTTGAAGTTACAAACACTGTTGTATATTCACTGGAACTAGTTTCGGGAACCTCAACTGATGTAGTAGGATGAACAAATGCAGTAGAGTAAAGTGTTTCAATATAAGATGTTGGTGGAGGGAGTTCAGTGCTTTCACTGGATACTGAAACCAAATAAGACGAAGTTTTGTAAACCTCAGCTGATGTCTCTACAACTGTTTCAACAGAAGAAGCTGGTGGTGGCACAGCAGTACTTGCAACAACTGTAGTCACTGGTGGAGTAATTGAAGTTACAAACACTGTTGTAGTTGGTTCTGTTACAAATGATGTCTTAACTTTCTGACTCTCAGTAACATCAGTACTTGATTCTACAATGACTGTCTGTTCAATAGAGCTAGTTGGTAAAACAAACTCAGCGCTACTAGAAATCTCCACAATAGATGATGATGGCTCAACAAAGGAGTATGTTGATGTAATAGAAATAAAAGATGTCTCAGGTAAAACGCTAGTTGAAATCGACTCAGTATATTCACTAGAACTAGTTTCGGGAACCTCAACTGATGTAGTAGGATGAACAAATGCAGTAGAGTAAAGTGTTTCAATATAAGATGTTGGTGGAGGGAGTTCAGTGCTTTCACTGGATACTGAAACCAAATAAGACGAAGTTTTGTAAACCTCAGCTGATGTCTCTACAACTGTTTCAACAGAAGAAGCTGGTGGTGGCACAGCAGTACTTGCAACAACTGTAGTCACTGGTGGAGTAATTGAAGTTACAAACACTGTTGTAGTTGGTTCTGTTACAAATGATGTCTTAACTTTCTGACTCTCAGTAACATCAGTACTTGATTCTACAATGACTGTCTGTTCAATAGAGCTAGTTGGTAAAACAAACTCAGCGCTACTAGAAATCTCCACAATAGATGATGATGGCTCAACAAAGGAGTATGTTGATGTAATAGAAATAAAAGATGTCTCAGGTAAAACGCTAGTTGAAATCGACTCAGTATATTCACTAGAACTAGTTTCGGGAACCTCAACTGATGTAGTAGGATGAACAAATGCAGTAGAGTAAAGTGTTTCAATATAAGATGTTGGTGGAGGGAGTTCAGTGCTTTCACTGGATACTGAAACCAAATAAGACGAAGTTTTGTAAACCTCAGCTGATGTCTCTACAACTGTTTCAACAGAAGAAGCTGGTGGTGGCACAGCAGTACTTGCAACAACTGTAGTCACTGGTGGAGTAATTGAAGTTACAAACACTGTTGTAGTTGGTTCTGTTACAAATGATGTCTTAACTTTCTGACTCTCAGTAACATCAGTGCTTGATTCTACAATGACTGTCTGTTCAATAGAGCTAGTTGGTAAAACAAACTCAGCGCTACTAGAAATCTCCACAATAGATGATGATGGCTCAACAAAGGAGTATGTTGATGTAATAGAAATAAAAGATGTCTCAGGTAAAACGCTAGTTGAAATCGAATCAGTATATTCACTAGAACTAGTTTCGGGAACCTCAACTGATGTAGTAGGATGAACAAATGCAGTAGAGTAAAGTGTTTCAATATAAGATGTTGGTGGAGGGAGTTCAGTGCTTTCACTGGATACTGAAACCAAATAAGAAGAAGTTTTGTAAACCTCAGCTGATGTCTCTACAACTGTTTCAACAGAAGAAGCTGGTGGTGGCACAGCAGTACTTGCTACAACTGTAGTCACTGGTGGAGTAATTGAAGTTACAAACACTGTTGTAGTTGGTTCTGTTACAAATGATGTCTTAACTTTCTGACTCTCAGTAACATCAGTACTTGATTCTACAATGACTGTCTGTTCAATAGAGCTAGTTGGTAAAACAAACTCAGCGCTACTAGAAATCTCCAAAATAGATGATGATGGCTCAACAAAGGAATATGTTGATGTAATAGAAATAAAAGATGTCTCAGGTAAAACGCTAGTTGAAATCGACTCAGTATATTCACTAGAACTCGTTTCGGGAACCTCAACTGATGTAGTAGGATGAACAAATGCAGTAGAGTAAAGTGTTTCAATATAAGATGTTGGTGGAGGGAGTTCAGTGCTTTCACTGGATACTGAAACCAAATAAGATGAAGTTTTGTAAACCTCAGCTGATGTCTCTACAACTGTTTCAACAGAAGAAGCTGGTGGTGGCACAGCAGTACTTGCAACAACTGTAGTCACTGGTGGAGTAATTGAAGTTACAAACACTGTTGTAGTTGGTTCTGTTACAAATGATGTCTTAACTTTCTGACTCTCAGTAACATCAGTGCTTGATTCTACAATGACTGTCTGTTCAATAGAGCTAGTTGGTAAAACAAACTCAGCGCTACTAGAAATCTCCACAATAGATGATGATGGCTCAACAAAGGAGTATGTTGATGTAATAGAAATAAAAGATGTCTCAGGTAAAACGCTAGTTGAAATCGACTCAGTATATTCACTAGAACTTGTTTCGGGAACCTCAACTGATGTTGTAGGATGAACAAATGCAGTAGAGTAAAGTGTTTCAATATAAGATGTTGGTGGAGGGAGTTCAGTGCTTTCACTGGATAATGAAACCAAATAAGATGAAGTTTTGTAAACCTCAGCTGATGTTTCTACAACTGTTTCAACAGAAGAAGCTGGTGGGGGCACAGCAGTACTTGCAACAACTATAGTCACTGGTGGAGCTGAACTTATATACAAAACTGATGATTGAAGCAACCTTGTTGTTTTGGTTGGTATGCTTTTTGTTGGCTAGGAAAAAAAAATCAATGAAACATAAAAATAATAAACTTTGTCACTAATATTAAAAAAAAATATTTATTTACTTTAAATTTTTTCTAAAAATAAAATTATAACTTGTACAGTTTTTAAAAAAAAAGTATATATTTACCATTGAAATGGTTACATAATTGGCTAAGAATGGAGAAAATTATGTTATAATTTATTTCAATGGTTTTAGATCAACCTATAAAAATTTTATAAGATACCTTGAGTTTAGACCCAAGGTTTCTGGACACAAGAATCAGGGCAATCTTCCAAAATAAAGATAATTTAATAAAATTATGCTTGGATACCAAAATTATTAGGCCTGGAAACCAAAATTATATAGCTATATATAAAAATTTATTTTACAAGAAAAAGATAGGAAAAAAGAAGCCAAACTTTAGTGAGCCCATTAATCTTGGTCTGGGAGATGAATATATCAAAAAATAAATATGAAAAACTAATAGTTATAAATATAAACATGTGAAGCTAATTTTATTACGAACAAAATTTGAAATATTTATAAGAAATTATGAAAATCATTACAAAATAAACTTACAAAAACCAAGGTCTTTTGACTTGAAGACTTTTTAAATACTTCAAATGAACTGCTACTCAAAGTAGTTGACAGAGTCACTATATTATCTGTCAAAAGTGATCGAGGAAGAGTTGATAAAGGCTTAAAAAAAAATTTATAAAAAAAAAAATTACTTATAAAAATGTAAAAAAGAAAAAAAAGCCTTACAATTAATTAAATATAACTAAACAAAAAAAAGAACAAAAAGTAAAAAACAAACAAATAAAAGAACAAAAAGATAAACTTTAGTTGTTCATCTGATAAAGAGACAAAAGGAAATTAATGATGGCCATTATTTCAAGATGTGCAGGCAATTTGTTGTTATGATTTATTTTTTTTAGTTTTAAATTAATGAACTTATTTTTTTCAAAAATGAGTTATTAAAAATCAAATCAAAAAATGAGTCATTATTACTCAAGTTATCATTATTAATTTATTAGTTATTAGGCTACTTTTAATAACTTTTTAATACCTTTTTGTGTATGTATGGAATTGGAATAATTTGTATTTTCGGATAAGATGATTTCATGCTCTTCAATTTCGATAAGATCATCCCATGTTCTTCATTCACATATATTTTGTAAGCTTTTAAAGTTTTCAGTTGATTATTTTATGGTATATATCATAATATGTCTTTACATTATATATAATGTCCTAACATTTGATTATTTTATGGTATCGTTACATTTTTTTTGTTTAATTATTTTATTCATTATTCTATGCATATTATTCATTTGCAATTAGTTTTGTTGTAATATTTTGAACTTGTATTGTAATTTTCTTTTCAAATTTCATTTTTATTTTCTAACTTATTAAAAACTAATTCATAAGCTGATTTATTTATTATGAAAAGTTTTATGATCAGATTTTCACTTTTTTTTTTTCAGGTGCCTCAAGAAGTCCTTATCACATTGTTCATAATTAAAACTTGTTTGTTGCGTTCCATACATCATCAGAGTTCACACATTTGTGCATGAAATCATAACGTTTTATGATAAGAAAAACAAGAAAGGGCATCATTAGAAGATCCGCCCCAGATATGGCAACAGTATTTAATACAAGGACGAATTTGAGATTTATAGAGATAAAGAATCTTGAATCTTGAGTAAGAAAGTGACAAGCACAATAAAGAGATACAACCTTAGCAGATGCTAATTTTGCAATTGATTTGATGTATGGTGATCCAAGAAAAATCAGAAGTAAGAATTAATCCTAGAAGATGAAGACAAATGAAAAGTTAATAAATTTTTTACCTAAAAACTGTTAAAACTCTGTGCCTTGCACTTTGTAATAATGTGTTTAAATGTAAACAATGTGTAAAAATGTAAATAATGTGTAAAAATGTAATTTAAATTTAAACTAAAAGCAAATGAAACAGATTCCATTATTTTATAAAACTCAACACTGTGTGTTAGGAGGGAGTTATAAGGTACTTCAAAAGATCCTTACAATCTTATCACAGAGTACTGCAAAAGCATATTTAACTATAAAGTTAAAGCTTCCCAATTACCAATGCTGCAAATGTGATCAGAGCTGGCATCAAACCTCAGATCTCTTGATTCTGAGGCTAGAGCTCTAACCACTACACCACGACTGCCCATATCAAAACTTAAACATATATATATATATATATACATACATATATACATATATATATGTGTATATATATATATTTATATATATATATACATATATTTATATATATATATTTATATATATATATACATATATATATATACATATATATATATATATATATATATATATATATATATATATATATATATGTATATATATATATATACATATATATATATATATATATATATATATATATATATATATATATATATAAATATATATATATATAAATAAATATATATATATATATATATATATATATATATATATATATATATATATATGTATATATATATATGTATATATGTATGTTTATATGTATGTATACACACACCTACTATAGCATATATGAATCGTTAACTTGAAAAAAGGGGAAAAGGGGAAAAAGGGGACATGTCCTGCAAAAATTTACATAATATGTCCCCTTTTTCAAGTTAGCGATTCATATAAATATGCATTTGCCAACTTTTTTTGCCCACCTAAATCCAAACAGTTTTTTAAAAAAAAAGGGAAATGGTGAAAAAGGAAAAAATTTTGCAAAAAAAAAAAAAATGAAAATTAATTAAAAATGATTTTTTGACAACAAATAACTTTAAATTTTACCTAACATTTCAGTGTTAAATCCAAAGCCATTAAAATAATTGTGAATAAAATGTTTTTAAGTTACCGCAAAAACACAAATTTAATTGACTTAAATCTTTTTTTTTAATGCAGAATTGTTTTTATTTTTATTTTATGCCTTTATTAATAGATAAAACATACAAAGAGCGTATATACATTGAATGAAATAGGAAGAACACGCAAGAAGTGTACATTCATTGAATGAAAAGGTAGAACATGCAAGAAGTGCCTGTATATCAACTCAGGCTTTTGGTTAGGGTAAACAACTTTCTCATTTAAAAGAAATTTTTTTCTTGTTTTTTTTTTATATATTATTTTATCTCAACAGATTATAGAAATATTTTTGTCCAACATTTTTGTACAACTTATAAATTTCAAGTTAATAAATTATCATGAAAAAATAAAATAAATTTCAAATTTAAAAATTCAAACATGCCAGAGTTTTATCGTAGTACATAAATAAAATTTTGTTTTCATAAAGCAAGACATCAAATAAAAAACTGTGATATGGAGGAAACATAATCCACAGCAAAACAGACCTCTTAATGCAGTTTATTTAAAAATTTAAAAATTTAAAAGTTTGCTCAATGATAAGCAAAGAAAAACAAGAAATTAGAAAAATATTGAAAGTCAAATGAAGTATAGAGATAAAAAAAGGAATGAAAAAATTGCTACACAATTAAAAAATTCTTTTCTTGTCCTCAAGTCAATGTTAAGTTAATGAAAAGAGTAAAAAATGCTTTAATAGAATCTTCAGAACAAATTGCAGCCATTTTGAAAACATTAATAGCTGAAAGTCAACCGCTAATTAAGTTAGATTGTAGCAACTGTAAAAGTTTGATAACACCAAATTCATCAGGCAAACTGTAAAAGTTTACCTGATGATATAAAGTCACCAAAAATTTTTAGTCTAAGTAATGATATAAGTAGAGCATCAAATTTTGTTAAAGTGAGGATGGAGTTGGATAAAACTTAGAGTTATTTGTTAACAAAGTTTATTTTCAAAAAAAAAAAAAAAAAAATTGTTATTGGATTAACAATTTTCTACTTAAGACCATATTTTGTCAATCACTAAAGTACCACATAATATTTGCATTTTCTTTATTAACAAAAGAGTTTTCCATTCACAAAATATGTTTTTATTCACGAAAACATGCTTCAAAATTAGTTGCTTTTAAAAAGTTACACCCTCTATTTAATTATTTGTTGACATACAGACATCCACTTAAATTTGGCATATGAGAATCCACTTACTAAGGGCTTCATGAACCATTGCAAATATTGTATGGATACACTAAATATTGAAATTTTGGAGTATGGAATAAAGAATTTAAGTAATGAAGTAACCAACTTGGCTAAAAAACTAAAAACTGAATTAAGAAATTAATCCTAACGTTTATTGCAATACTGAGAAAGTCTGCGAATCTAAAGAAGTCTGGGAAGTAAGTAAACTAATATTGAATTATATGAACTCCTGACAATTTGGATCATGCATAAAAGTTACAAGTATACCATCAAATGAATAAAGTTATGAAACTAAATTCTAATAAATCAATCATAAGAATTGATTTTGCAGAGAACTTTAAATGCATTTAAATAAATGAACTTCTTATTACAGCTAGACTCCAATGTCATTCTCCACTTCAGCTGAATATTATCAATGTTATTTGAATTTGTTATTATTCTTTTTATGGATGCAACCTTAGAACAACTGCCAAAATCAACACAAAAACTTATATTGATAATACTACATATCAGTTCAAAAACAAGCACAAAACTGAGTCTTTACAAATGTTACAAAAACAACAAAAAATAGATAATAATAAACAAATTAGGCTTTTCTTTGCACCCAAGCATAGAAATAATATTGTTGACAATATCAAAAGAATTTGTAAAAAAAGATTTGTAAAAAAAAAAGATTTCAGAATATTGGATCAGATAATTTAAGTAACGACAACACGTTTGTATAAGTTTGTACAGGCATAAAAACATTTAAATACTTAAGTACCTTAAAATTGAAAAAAGACTTTTAAAAACAAAAAAGAAAAATTAATTATATAAGAAAAAAAAAAAAAAAATTAAAGCAAAAAAAAAAAAAAAATGCTTACCAAATCTGAAGGAAAAACAAAAGTACTGGTTGGAGATGGCAAAACAAATGTTGATGAAGGAAAAGAAGTAAAAAAATCTGTAGACGAAAATGATTCTGATGTCTGTTCAATACTGCTAGTTGGTAAAACAAACTCAGTGCTACTAGAAATCTCAACAATAAATGATGATGGTTCAACAAAGGAGTATGTTGATGTAATAAAAATAAAAGATGTCTCAGGTAAAACGCTAGTTGAAATCGACTCAGTATATTCACTAGAACTAGTTTCGGGAACCTCAACTGATGTAGTAGGATGAACAAATGCAGTAGAGTAAAGTGTTTCAATATAGGATGTTGGTGGAGGGAGTTCAGTGCTTTCACTGGATACTGTAACCAAATAAGATGAAGTTTTGTAAACTTCAGCTGATGTCTCTACAACTGTTTCAACAGAAGAAGCTGGTGGGGGTACAGCAGTACTTGCAACAACTGTAGTCACTGGTGGAGTAATTGAAGTTACAAACACTGTTGTAGTTGGTTCTGTTACAAATGATGTCTTAACTTTCTGACTCTCAGTAACATCAGTGCTTGATTCTACAATGATTGTCTGTTCAATAGAGCTAGTTGGTAAAACAAACTCAGTGCTACTAGAAATCTCCACAATAGATGATGATGGTTCAATAAAGGAGTATGTTGATGTAATAAAAATAAAAGATGTCTCAGGTAAAACGCTAGTTGAAATCGACTCAGTATATTCACTAGAACTCGTTTCGGGAACCTCAACTGATGATGTAGGATGAACAAATGCAGTAGAGTAAAGTGTTTCAATATAGGATGTTGGTGGAGGGAGTTCAGTGCTTTCACTGGATACTGAAACCAAATAAGATGAAGTTTTGTAAACCTCAGCTGATGTCTCTACAACTGTTTCAACAGAAGAAGCTGGTGGGGGCACAGCAGTACTTGCAACAACTGTAGTCACTGGTGGAGTAATTGAAGTTACAAACACTGTTGTAGTTGGTTCTGTTACAAATGATGTCTTAACTTTCTGACTCTCAGTAACATCAGTGCTTGATTCTACAATGATTGTCTGTTCAATAGAGCTAGTTGGTAAAACAAACTCAGTGCTACTAGAAATCTCCACAATAGATGATGATGGTTCAATAAAGGAGTATGTTGATGTAATAAAAATAAAAGATGTCTCAGGTAAAACGCTAGTTGAAATCGACTCAGAATATTCACTAGAACTCGTTTCGGGAACCTCAACTGATGTTGTAGGATGAACAAATGCAGTAGAGTAAAGTGTTTCAATATAGGATGTTGGTGGAGGGAGTTCAGTGCTTTCACTGGATACTGAAACCAAATAAGATGAAGTTTTGTAAACCTCAGCTGATGTCTCTACAACTGTTTCAACAGAAGAAGCTGGTGGGGGCACAGCAGTACTTGCAACAACTGTAGTCACTGGTGGAGTAATTGAAGTTACAAACACTGTTGTAGTTGGTTCTGTTACAAATGATGTCTTAACTTTCTGACTCTCAGTAACATCAGTGCTTGATTCTACAATGATTGTCTGTTCAATAGAGCTAGTTGGTAAAACAAACTCAGTGCTACTAGAAATCTCCACAATAGATGATGATGGTTCAATAAAGGAGTATGTTGATGTAATAAAAATAAAAGATGTCTCAGGTAAAACGCTAGTTGAAATCGACTCAGTATATTCACTAGAACTTGTTTCGGGAACCTCAACTGATGTTGTAGGATGAACAAATGCAGTAGAGTAAAGTGTTTCAATATAAGATGTTGGTGGAGGGAGTTCAGTGCTTTCACTGGATACTGAAACCAAATAAGACGAAGTTTTGTAAACCTCAGCTGATGTCTCTACAACTGTTTCAACAGAAGAAGCTGGTGGTGGCACAGCAGTACTTGCAACAACTGTAGTCACTGGTGGAGTAATTGAAGTTACAAACACTGTTGTAGTTGGTTCTGTTACAAATGATGTCTTAACTTTCTGACTCTCAGTAACATCAGTGCTTGATTCTACAATGATTGTCTGTTCAATAGAGCTAGTTGGTAAAACAAACTCAGTGCTACTAGAAATCTCCACAATAGATGATGATGGTTCAATAAAGGAGTATGTTGATGTAATAAAAATAAAAGATGTCTCAGGTAAAACGCTAGTTGAAATCGACTCAGTATATTCACTAGAACTAGTTTCGGGAACCTCAACTGATGTTGTAGGATGAACAAATGCAGTAGAGTAAAGTGTTTCAATATAAGATGTTGGTGGAGGGAGTTCAGTGCTTTCACTGGATACTGAAACCAAATAAGACGAAGTTTTGTAAACCTCAGCTGATGTCTCTACAACTGTTTCAACAGAAGAAGCTGGTGGTGGCACAGCAGTACTTGCAACAACTGTAGTCACTGGTGGAGTAATTGAAGTTACAAACACTGTTGTAGTTGGTTCTGTTACAAATGATGTCTTAACTTTCTGACTCTCAGTAACATCAGTGCTTGATTCTACAATGACTGTCTGTTCAATAGAGCTAGTTGGTAAAACAAACTCAGCGCTACTAGAAATCTCTACAATAGATGATGGTTCAACAAAGGAGTATGTTGATGTAATAGAAATAAAAGATGTCTCAGGTAAAACGCTAGTTGAAATCGACTCAGTATATTCACTAGAACTCGTTTCGGGAACCTCAACTGATGTAGTAGGATGAACAAATGCAGTAGAGTAAAGTGTTTCAATATAGGATGTTGGTGGAGGGAGTTCAGTGCTTTCACTGGATACTGAAACCAAATAAGATGAAGTTTTGTAAACCTCAGCTGATGTCTCTACAACTGTTTCAACAGAAGAAGCTGGTGGTGGCACAGCAGTACTTGCAACAACTGTAGTCACTGGTGGAGTAATTGAAGTTACAAACACTGTTGTAGTTGGTTCTGTTACAAATGATGTCTTAACTTTCTGACTCTCAGTAACATCAGTGCTTGATTCTACAATGACTGTCTGTTCAATAGAGCTAGTTGGTAAAACAAACTCAGCGCTACTAGAAATCTCTACAATAGATGATGGTTCAACAAAGGAGTATGTTGATGTAATAGAAATAAAAGATGTCTCAGGTAAAACGCTAGTTGAAATCGACTCAGTATATTCACTAGAACTCGTTTCGGGAACCTCAACTGATGTAGTAGGATGAACAAATGCAGTAGAGTAAAGTGTTTCAATATAGGATGTTGGTGGAGGGAGTTCAGTGCTTTCACTGGATACTGAAACCAAATAAGATGAAGTTTTGTAAACTTCAGCTGATGTCTCTACAACTGTTTCAACAGAAGAAGCTGGTGGGGGTACAGCAGTACTTGCAACAACTGTAGTCACTGGTGGAGTAATTGAAGTTACAAACACTGTTGTAGTTGGTTCTGTTACAAATGACGTCTTAACTTTCTGACTCTCAGTAACATCAGTGCTTGATTCTACAATGACTGTCTGTTCAATAGAGCTAGTTGGTAAAACAAACTCAGCGCTACTAGAAATCTCTACAATAGATGATGGTTCAACAAAGGAGTATGTTGATGTAATAGAAATAAAAGATGTCTCAGGTAAAACGCTAGTTAAAATCGACTCAGTATATTCACTAGAACTCGTTTCGGGAACCTCAACTGATGTAGTAGGATGAACAAATGCAGTAGAGTAAAGTGTTTCAATATAGGATGTTGGTGGAGGGAGTTCAGTGCTTTCACTGGATACTAAAACCAAATAAGATGAAGTTTTGTAAACCTCAGCTGATGTCTCTACAACTGTTTCAACAGAAGAAGCTGGTGGGGGCACAGCAGTACTTGCAACAACTGTAGTCACTGGTGGAGTAATTGAAGTTACAAACACTGTTGTAGTTGGTTCTGTTACAAATGATGTCTTAACTTTCTGACTCTCAGTAACATCAGTGCTTGATTCTACAATGACTGTCTGTTCAATAGAGCTAGTTGGTAAAACAAACTCAGCGCTACTAGAAATCTCTACAATAGATGATGGTTCAACAAAGGAGTATGTTGATGTAATAGAAATAAAAGATGTCTCAGGTAAAACGCTAGTTGAAATCGACTCAGTATATTCACTAGAACTCGTTTCGGGAACCTCAACTGATGTAGTAGGATGAACAAATGCAGTAGAGTAAAGTGTTTCAATATAGGATGTTGGTGGAGGGAGTTCAGTGCTTTCACTGGATACTGAAACCAAATAAGATGAAGTTTTGTAAACCTCAGCTGATGTCTCTACAACTGTTTCAACAGAAGAAGCTGGTGGGGGCACAGCAGTACTTGCAACAACTGTAGTCACTGGTGGAGTAATTGAAGTTACAAACACTGTTGTAGTTGGTTCTGTTACAAATGACGTCTTAACTTTCTGACTCTCAGTAACATCAGTGCTTGATTCTACAATGACTGTCTGTTCAATAGAGCTAGTTGGTAAAACAAACTCAGCGCTACTAGAAATCTCTACAATAGATGATGGTTCAACAAAGGAGTATGTTGATGTAATAGAAATAAAAGATGTCTCAGGTAAAACGCTAGTTGAAATCGACTCAGTATATTCACTAGAACTCGTTTCGGGAACCTCAACTGATGTAGTAGGATGAACAAATGCAGTAGAGTAAAGTGTTTCAATATAGGATGTTGGTGGAGGGAGTTCAGTGCTTTCACTGGATACTAAAACCAAATAAGATGAAGTTTTGTAAACCTCAGCTGATGTCTCTACAACTGTTTCAACAGAAGAAGCTGGTGGGGGCACAGCAGTACTTGCAACAACTGTAGTCACTGGTGGAGTAATTGAAGTTACAAACACTGTTGTAGTTGGTTCTGTTACAAATGACGTCTTAACTTTCTGACTCTCAGTAACATCAGTGCTTGATTCTACAATGACTGTCTGTTCAATAGAGCTAGTTGGTAAAACAAACTCAGCGCTACTAGAAATCTCTACAATAGATGATGGTTCAACAAAGGAGTATGTTGATGTAATAGAAATAAAAGATGTCTCAGGTAAAACGCTAGTTGAAATCGACTCAGTATATTCACTAGAACTCGTTTCGGGAACCTCAACTGATGTAGTAGGATGAACAAATGCAGTAGAGTAAAGTGTTTCAATATAGGATGTTGGTGGAGGGAGTTCAGTGCTTTCACTGGATACTGAAACCAAATAAGATGAAGTTTTGTAAACCTCAGCTGATGTCTCTACAACTGTTTCAACAGAAGAAGCTGGTGGGGGCACAGCAGTACTTGCAACAACTGTAGTCACTGGTGGAGTAATTGAAGTTACAAACACTGTTGTAGTTGGTTCTGTTACAAATGATGTCTTAACTTTCTGACTCTCAGTAACATCAGTGCTTGATTCTACAATGATTGTCTGTTCAATAGAGCTAGTTGGTAAAACAAACTCAGTGCTACTAGAAATCTCCACAATAGATGATGATGGTTCAATAAAGGAGTATGTTGATGTAATAAAAATAAAAGATGTCTCAGGTAAAACGCTAGTTGAAATCGACTCAGTATATTCACTAGAACTTGTTTCGGGAACCTCAACTGATGTTGTAGGATGAACAAATGCAGTAGAGTAAAGTGTTTCAATATAAGATGTTGGTGGAGGGAGTTCAGTGCTTTCACTGGATACTGAAACCAAATAAGACGAAGTTTTGTAAACCTCAGCTGATGTCTCTACAACTGTTTCAACAGAAGAAGCTGGTGGTGGCACAGCAGTACTTGCAACAACTGTAGTCACTGGTGGAGTAATTGAAGTTACAAACACTGTTGTAGTTGGTTCTGTTACAAATGATGTCTTAACTTTCTGACTTTCAGTAACACTGGTACTTTGTATGTTTTCTGATGATTTAATAGATGATATTATCAATGTTGAAAATGATGATTCAACTATGGTACTGAATACTGATTGTAATGTAGTTTGAACTTTAAGTGTTTCCGTTGCCACAGAAGGAGGTAACATACTTGTACTTATTAAATGTATTGACTCTGATGATTGGATTTGTGATGTAACTATGCTATTTACTATTGCTGAAGAACTTAGTAACTCAGCAGTACTACTTAATAACGGAGTTTTTGTTTTTTGTGGAGTAGAAGAAATTGAATATGAAGAAAAAATGGATGGTGCCATTGTACTGGATGTATGTTGAATAATAGATGAAGAACACAATATATTATCTTCTTTAGTAATGTTTTGACAATGATGGCCGTCATCATATGTTCCTTCAGGACAACCGCACCCCTCAACAATAGCACCCTTACAGCATCGCTCTTTTGGATCACATTTTTTTTCTTCCTTATTACACGTTTGTGGTATTTTGTTATCTGCATAATATCCATATGAATGTCCACAAGGATCACAACAATCCAATTCTAAAGTTATTTATCAAAATGTTGCATATATGTATGTATATATATATATATATATATATATATATATATATATATATATATATATATATATATATATATATATATATATATATATAAACCTCTATAATTTAAATATATATAAATAAATTGTTTTATACTTAGGTCTAGAAATGCTGAAATAGAGTAGGTAGGGGCTTCAGTATATTTTTATATAGAAATAAATATAAAATTTATTATGGCAAAAAAAAACACAAAAAAAACAACATTGTTTTCTGAAAAAAAAACTGGATGTTTTAACTTAGTCTAAAATTAATTTAAAGAAAATATTAGGACTGTCTAAACTAGTTCTATCCATTCAATAATCTACATACTAATTAGCACTATCCAGTCAACAATCCACTTATTTATTGATGTGTATTAACATGGATCATCCAGGTCATATATTTAAAATGCAGAAAATTGTTCGGGTAAAATATCTGGAAAAAATCCGGAATATAATTTCACTTATTTTCTTTTTAACTTTTTTTTAAAATTTTTTTATTTTAGGTGGGCCAACAAGTCTTTATGGTCTCATCACAGAGCACCATGGAAGAACATTTGAAAGAAAGTTCATGCCTCCTTTCTTACCAATTTTATAAAACTTGCCTAGAGATGGCGTTAAACAAGGATCGTTAGCTTTTGAAGCAAGTGCGGTAAACACTGCACTAAGGCTGTTACAAATCATATATTAAAATTACCAGAGGATTTTAGTAGCATTATTTACAAATAAATTTAATAAAAATTACAAATATTTTAGTTTTTTTCATGTAGCAGGATTAAATTTATTAACAGTATAGAAAGATTTTTCTCTTTTCAAAAGTCATAATGATAAATTGCAGATGCAAGGTTGCAGATGCAAGTAGAATTGTCCTTTTACCTGTGGGATAAACATATCAGATAAATTTGAATTTTGGATTTAGTTGAGTTGTTTCCAATATTTTTTCCAAAATTTTCTTAATTTTTCCATGAGTGATGATTGAAAAAGCTTAACAAATAAATATATTACAAAAAAGTACACCTAAACTTGTATGTATGGAAAACATTTTAAATATCCGGAAAAACTACAAGTTAAGAAAAATATCTGGAATTTCGAAATATCCGAAAAAGATAATCCCTGATTAAGGACTGTACTTATATGTGGACCTTTAAATTTTATGTATACAATTTTTGCTCTGGTGCTTTTAAAAAAATAAAAGTAAAAGAAAAAGAAGAAATAAAAAAAATAATTTTATTATAAAAACATCTCTATGGCTACACTTATCTATGGCTATATCAGTATGATGTCATCAATGAAATTTCATTTGTACTTGAAAGTAATAACTTTTTTAAATTATAAAACAAAAAAACAAAATTTTGCTATAATATAACATAAATAGGTCTACCTAACATCCTTCTTAACATAGCTAATGTACTTACTGCAAAGTCCTTCTCTTCTCCAATATATTGGGACACCATGCCTGTTACATTCCTGAACATATGCTGATACTGCAGAGCAAAAGCAAGCACAATCACCCCCAGACTTGCACAAGCAAGTTTCTTGCATACAAGATTCAACAAAAGGTTCTGGATTAACTGCTTTATGGCAAGTAGTGAAATTTCCTGTTTTAATGATGTTACATCCTTAAAAAAAATTAAAATCTTGCTTTTAGATAAAATGCTAAAGACATAATATGTATCAAACATTACATTATAGTGCCAACATCATTTTGTTACAGACTGGCAAATTTGCTGACCAAAATTAATATTTATGAAGGAAAAATCATATTTTCCAGCATACTGTTGCAAAATATTTCATTGGTTTTTATAATACATTTAAAAATGGCAAGTATTTCAGTATAATAACTGTAAGAAATAAATAAATTTATTAATATAAATATTATAACAATATCCTTTTTGAATATACTAAAAACAATTTTACAATTTTATCTTATCATGTGTCCTTTCTCTTTCTCTTATATTCTTTATCCTCTTTCTCATCTTGGATAAGTCATGGAATCATAGTCTGACCCAGACTCTTGCCATTTTTTTCAGAATTCTGAATACTCTGTAACCCGTTTCCCAAACTTTTTAAATTTAAAAATATATTCTTTTAATGTAGTAGAAATGTGTACCATATTTGAAATGTGTACCATATTTGAAATGTGTATCATATTTGAAATGTGTAACATATTTGAAATGTGTAACATATTTGAAATGTGTACCATATTTGAAATGTGTACCATAATTGAAATGTATACCATAATTAAAATGTGTATCATATTTGAAATGTGTAACATATTTGAAATGTGTACCATATTTAGCTTATGTGCTAATATTAATTCCAAACAAGAAAAAGAATGGTCCTATTTAGGAACACAAACTAGAAGGCTAAGTAAATAAAACTGCTAAATACAGTCCACTATTTTGATAGAGATATTTGAAGGAAGCTACACAATTTTTTTTCCTTTTTTTTTAAGTTTAACATCCATGGCTCTGCACTTGTATGGTTTTTAATGGGTTCCCGTAATGCACTTGTATGGTTTTAGATGGGTTCCCATAATGCACTAGTATGGTTTTAGATGGGTTCCCATAATGCACTTGTATGGTTTTAGATGGTCTCCCATAATGACATTTTTTTCCTACCATAACCTGCAACTCAGGAGAGTTTCATTATGATAATACTACAAGGAGGATTACCATCTGAGGAGGATACAAAGATGATTGTCATCTGAGGAGGATACAAAGAGGAATACCATTTGAGGTTTATGAAATCCTAGCCTTACACAAATAAAATTTAATAGCCATTATGCTCTAAAAATTAATTTTACTCCTAAATTTTAAACTAATTCAAAACACATCTCAAAAATTTAAAAATATTGAAATTGATTCTGAAAGCCCTGAAAAAAAAAAAGAGACGTAAAAAAGCTATAGTTCATGTTCTTGTGCTGAAAAAAAAAAAGAAGTAATGAAACTGCTACTTACAAAATCTACTATTAATTTTAACGTCAATGTCAAAAAACAATTTTACTATGTATATCTTGCTTTCTAAGCAAATTTAAGAGAAGCTTAAAGTCAATTTAAAAAAAATTTAGATAATGATGCTCTATACTTACTAAAAATTTATTGTAAAAATGATTAAAAAAAAAAAAACAATTAAAAAAATAAAATAATAAACTCTGATTGTTAATAATGTTAATTACAATTAATTTTGTTAACATAGTATACAAGAAAAAATTGAAATTATTACTCACAAGGATCAAAAAAATTTACTAAACAAAAAATCAAAAAAATTAATTTCTAAATGCAGACATGAAAATAAGTACCTTTTCAAAAATTATAAAAACAAATGATCAGACTAAAATTATCTTAATTCTAAAAAACTCTTTTTCATAATTAATTTTTTAATTTTAATGTAGTTGATGCAATAAATAAAAAATAACTAAAGTTTTTACATAATTTATTATAACAATTCCAAACTTCCTGTGAAATATTTTTGCTATAATTTAAATTTTTTGATGCTTAGACATTCCCTCCGATGAACCTACTGATGGAGAAACAAGTTGTTGAAAAATAAAACTAGATAAGTGTTTTTACTTATTTATTATCACTTTGTTCTTTAAGAACATTGAGCACTCTATTTGTAGAATACACTAACATAATTTAAGCAACACTCCCTTGTAGCAGCAATTTATAAGATAGTCAATGTACCAACACTCCACGCATGTTTTAAAAATATATTTTAATAAAATAAAAACAAAAATACCATTAATCAAAAAAAACTTTCTAGTCATTATTATTGCAATTTTTTTTAAAAACAATAAAATTTAATGTACTTCCGCATTAATTTAATTGCTTTGACAAAATACATATACATATATGTAATTTAATATAATATTATATATATATATATATATATATATATATATATATATATATATATATATATATATATATATATATGTGTATATATATATATATATGTGTATATATATATATATATATGATATATATATATATATATATATATATATATATATATATATATATATATGCATGTGTGTATATAGTAATATTTTTATAATCACCTTTCTGTGCCCAAGGAAGATATTCTGGATTAGCAGTACATGTATCTAAGTCTATTGGTGGTGAACAACTAGATGCTTCATCAGTCCAAGACTTTGCAAACTGCAAAGCATTATCAGCTGGCAAATTATCAAGTTTTTGAAAATCATCTTCATCTTTACCATTAAAATTTCCACAAAGACCAGCAAAATTTCCACTCCATTTATGCTTAACACCAGGTATAACATAGACACGATTGTGTTGATCATATTTAACTGTATAATCCAGCTTATACGCACGTACAATAATGAATAATCCAGACTAAAGCAAAAATGTTATAAAACTAATCAATATCAAAATGTTAATCATTTTATTATTATTACTACTGTTATTATTATTACTATTATTATTATTATTATTATTATTATTATTATTATTATTACTGTTATTATCATTATTATTAATATTAACAGTAATAGTAATTCTATATTATTTATAAAATTACTGTTACTGTTATTTTTTTTTGTAACCATTAATTTAATTTTTTTTGTAACCATTAGAGAAAAAATTTATAGAAAATACCTTAAAAATTTCAAGTCCATCGATAACATTTTTTAATGGCTGAGGATAATTTCCTTTTTTAAAAGAAAGTTTTGTTTCATGATGATAAACATCAACATTTTCTTGTAGCAAAACAATTTCTGCCATACTTCCATCAGTCATTCGCATCTCAATTGTTACTTCTTTGCACATATATTGCTCATAACTATCAATGCATCTTGTATTGCGAACTCGTACATTAAAGTTTGCTTGAAGTAGGTCACAGAACTGACTTTGACCATTTTTTTTACAATCAGACATCATTATATATTGGCATTTTCCACCATCAAACTTATACATTTTCCCATCAAATGTACGATAATGCATTTGACCAAATGCTGCACAATCATACTGAGGCTTAGCATCTACACCAGAAAGCTGTTTCCAAGTTCGATCACCATTGCATACCCTAACAAAACATATTATTCATGCACAATAAAAATTTGAAAAATAATATTCTATACAAAAGTTCTTCTAATATTAAATAGTAAAAATATTTTTACTTAGCACAATCTGAAGGAGAAGTATCACCCATGTTGTAAAATTGTTCAGCCTCTTTGCACTGACACTGAGTGTTTGGCTCAACACATGATCCATTTTCATGCATAACTTTTCCATCTCGACAAAAACAGCCTGATTGACATCGCAAATCTTGTTTAGTAAGTTTAAAGTTTGAACAAGTCAAGCCACAATCAGAATATTGAAGACCTTTTTCTTCACAATGACCTAAAAAATAATTTAACAAGTAATAGTAAACAAATGCTTTTAGTTAAAATTTTACACACACGGAGTACAAATTTATTATGCATATATTATGCCAATATATACAAAAAATTATTGAAAAATGCTAATGGCCTCTAAAAGTTCCAGCATATTATTAAGAGAGAAGATTTTTCTCTCTTATTAATGTGCTTCTAATGTTTTGCAAAACCAAAATTTCCTATGCAATACATTAGGAAATTGTTTAGGAACATGAAAGATTCATTCTTGAAAAGGCTTAAGACTGATAATGCAGTAAGGGCTCAGAGCCCTAAAATATCTTTCAACCAACACATATTTTCTTAAAGAGAAAAAGATCATTATAAAGGTCATAAGTAACTTTAGAAGTAACTTTAGAAGTAACTTTAGCTTTGTTAGAAGTAACTTTAGCATGCATAATAAAATCTAACCTTCACAATTTATATTTGTGCATTCAAATTTTCCTCCAACACATGTACTAAAAAAATATTTTACCAAATATCTTATTTAAAAAACACAAGTGTAATTTGAATAATTATTTTCGAAATGGAAAAAACAAAAACATTTAAATAATAAAATAAATAAATACCAGTTATTACAGCGATCTTGTCTTGTTTCACCAAATTGATAAATAAGATTGTTATGAAAACACGGACATTTCTCTTTTTTCACACATTCTTGATTGTTATCTTCAAAATAACCTTCTGGACAGAAGCATCCTTCAACACAACCTCGACTACAAGTAAGAAATTTAAACTTGTTTTGACAATCTATAAAAATATCCTGATATACCAACTTTTACAAACTTTACAAAAAAATTTACAAACTAAAATAAGCAACAATTTTAACATGTTCACTATTCAAATCAAAGTTTTACAGCATAAAATCAAAAAGACAGTTTTTAGTCCAACTAAGCAAGAAAACTATAATTAAAATATTCTTGATGAACGTTAACAAAAATAGATAATAATAAACTATAATTTAGCTTGTCAAAAATACACAAGACTTTAAAACATGTAATTTTGCATATATTTGTTTTTAATTTTAAATTTTGATTTAATTAATTAGCTTCTTCAGTTAGTGTTTAAAATTATTTAAAATACTTAAAATACTTAAAATACTTTATAACATTTGTTAAATTAAAATCTTACAACATAAAAAATTTATATAATTTTTTACAAAGAAAAAAAAAAATTATTTTTATTTTTGGCTAATAAAACAATCAATTTTTTAATCTGGTGTATTGAAAGCTCTTTTTGCTTTGACATAATAAAAATCATTAAACATAATATATTACTAAGAATTTAGGACACTCACAGTATTACGCACACTCTAATTCCATGCACTTCAACACAAACTCCAGATACCTTCAGACCATATACCATTACACACACTCCAGATACTCTCAGACCATATACCATTACACACATTCAAGACATTCTCGCACTATAATGCCTTATCAAGACTCTCACATTGCACACCATAAGACATTCTCGCACTATAATGCCTTATCAAGACTCTCACATTGCACACCATTACACATATCTAAAATACTCTCACACCATACACTATAATGCAACTTAAGATACTCTCACACCACACACCATTACACACACTCAGGATGCTCTCATACCACTTAAAAAGTTTTTGGCTGAGCTTAATGAACATTCAACTGGCATTATTAGAATACTCTACTTTAGATAACAATTTTTCTTTTGAAAAAATTGTCAAAAGAATCAAAAAAAAAAAAAAAGAAAAAAAGAAATCATGTCCGTTAATAAGCATTTTTACTAAAAACATTTGAACTAAAGTTGACACCATTATTGAAATTTTCGAACAAATTTTCTCTTAAAATATTTAAAATTTTTAAAAGAAAAAGTTCTTCTCATTTACAAACTTTATTTACCACTTATGCATAGATTTCTATATTTTAAATAAAATGTTTTAAAATACTAAAAAAACATACAACTTACATTGAACAAGCATCAGTATCATTTGTTGAAATATCCAGACATGTAGCTGGACACTTTAATGTTAACCCGCTTACATCTGTATTGCATTGTCTATTAATTTTTGGTGCAGGACAATTCATAGCTTAAAAAAATAATTTTTTTTTAAAAAATCAAAAATTTACCATCAAAGTTTAGAGAACTTTAAAATAACATTAAAAAAAATATATCATTGCATAAAGATTAATAACATTGTTATGTAAAAATTCTTACAGCATTCTTTTGTTTCATCTCTCCATCCATGAACTAAAATCCCTTTATCCATGCATAGCTTTGCGTATTGAGAAACTACACTACAATAGCAGTTTTGACATTTGCATGCATCTTGCAAACAACTTTCATAGTGAAAAGATGGCGGAACAACATTATGACATGCAGCAAAAGGCCCAGATAAATTGTTTATAATGCTACAACTATCTTTTGCATAAGGTAAATTAGTTGCATAAATCTGACAAGGTTTTTCACTGATTTCCCAAAGAGATGAATGGCATTTTAATGGATCTTGGTTCACATCATTATCATTATATATCCAAGCTTGTGTGAACGCTGTCACACTTGTTTCAACTGAGTCAGACCGAGTGTGAAAATCATCTTGCTTATTTTGATTGTAAGTCCCACATAAACCACATGTTTGATTTTCAAACTCATGGCCTACTGTAATGTAAATGTTCTCACTTGTCCAATGAATCATAAACTTTGTTTTCTGATATTGAAAAACAACATTTTCATCTCCAATAATTGCAATCTGGTATTGATCAGTGATAACAAATGAGGTTTCAACTCCATTTACAGTAACTAATGGGTATTTCCTTGAATTTTGGCTTCCATCAGAAATTGAATCAAAGTTTATTCTGGTATTTATTGAAGTAAGGTTTACCAGCAATGATCTGACACAGGAGGTATATATTGTGTTATCGCTACATTTTGAATTTTTTACAATAATCTCAAATTCCTTTTTACCGGTACCATAATGGCAGTGGTCCATTAATACATAGCTACATTGGCCATACATGTCATATTGCTTACCATCAAATGTTTTAATATGAGGATCCCCATAGATATGACAAGAGGCAGCACATGGTTTTTTAGAGCATGACCATGCCCCACCATTGCATGTACTAAATTTTTTTTAATTACAAAAAATTTAAATTATTTTATAAACCAATAAAAAACATTTTAGATAACTGTACTAGTATCTTTTAAATAATGAAAAAAAAAAACTTATTTAATTCTATAAAAAGTACTAACCAATCTTCACATTGGCCATTGCGCACACTTCCATGTGGATACCTTACACCATCTTTATAGCACGAACACTGACTGCGAGGTATGCAACGGTCTGTTGCAGTGTCAAAATAAAGATCTGGTGGACAATGACAACCATCAACACAATCTGCTATACACTTGGTACTACTCATTAGATTATCACACATCTTTGGGCAAGCACTACCACAATCATAATACTGCATATCACCTTTGCATGTCACAGCTGAAGGCAAAATGAATTATTATGAATCACTTAAACTTAATGAATAATTTTAAAAAAATTATGTAAATACATGATATAAAAAAACATTGATAATATTTTATTTTTTATATTTTGCCTTATGAATTTAGATTGAAATTTAACTTTTGTTATATTTGTTTGAATAATTATGTGGTCTATAAATAGTAAAATATCTTACGACATAAAGCAGGGGTTCTCCATTTGATTTCTTTCCCTAGTTTTAAACAAACTCTTGAATACTGTGAAAGAGCTCCACAGATACAGTCACTTCTCAGGTCATAATTGCAATGTAAAACTTCTTGCATACATATTAACTTGTAAACTTCTGGGTCCAACACATCATGACATGGTTTAAAAGCTTCTGTTTCAATAATAGAGCAAATTCTTTCAGCATTTTCATAGACAAAGATATCACTTCCAGTAGGATTATAAAAAGGTATTGGAGTGAAATTTTCAGAACATAAACCCTTGTTGGTTTGAAATACGCTTGCAAACTCTTTAACATTTGAACGTTGAATTCCACTAAAATCAACAAAATCATTTCGATGATCACCATCAAAATTACCACATAAACCAACTAAACTATTTTTTTTCTTGGTAGCTCGATAAGATTCAGGAACAGTTATTTCAACAACTTCTCTTCCATCAAATGTAACTATCACTTGATCAGAAGTTATAACCATTATGTAACGCCCAGCCTGAAAATTTAAAGTTACATTTTACTAAACGCAATTTTTTAAATATGTATATTTATATATCTATACAAATATATATATATATATATATATTATATATATATATATATATATATATATATATATATATATACTTATATATGGACGGCGCACAGTAGAGTGTCCAACAATCAACTGACTTAATAAAGTTAGGCACATAGATTGGCTAAGGTTTCGATTTGGACAGGCAGCCTAATTAATATTTATGAAGTGTTGATATCCAGATAAAATCTGTTTATCTTTATCCTGCACAAAATCAACAGTTTTAGATGAAAAGTAGAAAACATTATATTAAAATTATCAAACTATTAATAAGATTAAACCAATAAAAAATCTAAAATCAAACCTTTAAATTATCAACACAGCTTTGTTGACATGCGCCAACAAATTAACACAAAAATGCATCACTATGTGACATAAAAAATCCATTGATTTTTCTTAAAACAATGGACTTTTTGACTGCTAACATGACCAGAAAAATACCAGTTGACGTCGAATTTCTGTATTTTGTAAAAACACTTGACAAAGTACCACATCACGAAATGCTTTAAAAACTAAAAATTTACAGAATCGAAGATAATCTTCTCAATTGAATTAAAGCTTTCCTAACCATCAGATCTCAACAAGTCATCCTTGTTGACACTTAGTCTGATTGGTTACCTGAGATTAGTGACATTTCCCAAGCTTTAATCTTGGATCCAACCTTATTTTTTCTTATTAAAAGTTCACCAAGAGCTAATTACAGAGACGAAACTATAAGAAAAATATGGAAACAATTTAGCTCATTTTAATTTTTTAACAACTGCATTACCAATGCATGGAGCAGCTTGCCAGATAATGTAGTCTACTCTCCATTTTGTCAACAGCTTCAAAGCAAGTTTTTATAGGCTCCAAAGTTGAAACAGCTAGCAACTCTCTGTAGTGGATGCTGCATTATGAGCTTCAGAAATGAAATCTCTAATTTGACAATCTATATTTTGTATTTTGTCAATTATTTTTACTTTTGTTGTAATATATATATATATATATATATATATATATATATATATATATATATATATATATATATATATATATATATATATATAAGTATATATATATATATATATATATATATATATATATATATATATATATATATATATATATATATATAAATAAAATTAAATTTTAACTATTATTAACTAAATTTTTTTGTATGCATGCCTTTAGCAAGAGTGCTGAATAGTACCACACCCTAATGCTCCAGAAAAAGTATAAGTTGGAATATCAGAATGCAAATAGAAGAAACAACAGACTAACCACAAACACTTTTTTACAAATTAATAAACTGCAAAATTCAACTGCCCATTCTAAATACATGAGCCAAATAAAAGAAAACATCAAAATAACGCCTGACTAGGTAATTAGGTCTCTAACTACAGTAATGTCAAATTTTTTTTTACTATTCCTCAGCAAAAAACTTATAATAATTTCATACAAAGATTCCCAAGTATTTTTATACAAAAAAATAGAAATAAAAAGTTTTTGCTTGACATAAGAAATAATAAGTTTTTGCTTAACACTTTGTCAAAGAAGTGTTAAGCAAAAACTTATTATTTCTTATGTCAAGAATGGAAGTGTGCTCCAAACATTAACCAATAGAATGGTTAATGTTTGGAGCGGAAGTGTGCTCCAAACATTAACCAATAGAATGGTTAATGTTTGGAGCACACTTCCGGATGCAGTTAAAAACTCCAAAACTATGAATTCGTTTAAAAACAGTTACGATGCCTATGCGAAAACAGTATGAAACTTTATTTACAGTTCAGCTGTCATAGTTGACCATATTAATTTGGTCAGCTCCGCTTTATGCTACAGCTCAATCTTATTATTATTATTATTATTATTATTATTATTATTATTATTATTATTATTATTATTATTATTATTATTATTATGAGCGCAAACCCAAAGATTTAAAAATTAAAGCATTATAATTAATTTTACATGTTTTAAATTTTTTTTAACATCATAAGTTTCTTTAACATAAAGAATCTGATGCTATTTAATTTACAATCATTCTTAAATTGTCTTAATTAACAACAAACCATGAAGGGTTGTATGATATATATGTTTAAATTGTATGCTCTCATGTGGATCAATTTTCAAAATTTTAGATATTGTTTAACTATTTTCCATTGCGCTTTGAAAACATTAAAAGAAGATGATTGAAAACAAGATGAAAACATTAAAAGAAGATGATTGAAAAACAAGACGAAAACATTAAAACAAGATGATTGAAAACAAGATGAAAACATCAAAACAAGATGATTGAAAACAAGATAAAAACATTAAAACAAGATGATTGAAAACAAGATGAAAACATTAAAACAAGTTGAAAACAAGATGATTGAAAACAAGATGATTGAAAACAAGATGATTGAAAAATTAAATTGAACACAAGATAAATTAAAATTAAAACATCAAGTGAAATAAATTAAAAATAAATTAAAAATAAATATAATCTTTGTTTAATTAAATTATTTCAGAACTTATAGAAATTCTAAATTTATTAATATTAAACTTGGTTTTCACTTTAACATTTCATTTTTGCCAAGAAAAATTATTTCAGACTTATATAGGTAAAATATCATTAATTAATTACAAACTTGTGTGTGCTGTATACAAATCACTGGACAAAAAAGACCAAAACTCATACATCTACAAACATCTCCATGCCAACAATAATTATTTGGTAAATTTTAATAAAAATTGCTTTTTTGATATTGAATTCTGCCTTCAATAAATTTGAGTTTAAACTGATAACTATGATAGAATTTCATAAAATCATTTATCTTTGTGTTCAACTTTTAATGCCTTTGTTACTATTTTCTTTGTGTTCAACTTTTAATGTTACTATTTTTTATACTGCTTATTTTGTCATATATGAAAATTTTAATTATGGTTGTAAAATACAATAAAATAAATAGTTTTCTTTTAACCCAATTAAAGATGAATAGAAGAAGCCATCTAAAATAATGTGTTAAAACTGTTTATTTAAAATACATTTTTTTTAATGGTTAATTCACCTCCTTAAGGCCAAGAAGGCCACTACAGATGAGGAGGCTACTTATTTGTGGTTATAACCCTCTCTTAACTCTATAACTCTGAAACACCAACCTTGACGAACAAGGCTGCTACACAGAGAAACGAGTTGAGCATGGTACTACCAGAGATGTGGTGGGGATCAAACTCAGAACCTCTTGCTTATGAAGCAAGCCATCTACCACTACACCACTACCACATAACATATGTTTAAAATGTTTTAATATTTTTTAAGCTTTAATGTTTAAAAAATTTTTTTAAAAGTTTTATTTCTTAATTGTTTTATATTATATTGCGCTATAAAGAAAATTTGGATATAAAAACTGTTTGATGGAACACGTTGCATTAATAGTAGTTTTTTATTGTTTTTTTTTAAATACTTTTTAAATACAAACACAAATGTTTTAGCTATTAAAGCACATAAAAACACATTAAAGTTTTGTATATTTGAAATTTTTACCTGTTTAATTTTTGGAGTACCATCATATGGCAAACTAACCAAATTTCCATCAACCCGAACTATAAACAAATCACCAATTTTTTGTCCCAAATGTATGGCTTTGTTATCTGCTTTAATATCAAGTGTTCTTTTGACTGTGGTATTATAATTCATTTTAGGGTCATTGTTGATAATTATATCAAAATTATTTTGTGAGTCAGTGTCATGGACCAAAAGATAAGAACATCCAGTGTTTAGTTGATACTTTAGACCATCAAATGTACTGTACTGCATTTTATCATGAACATAACATGTTTTCATAACAGCTGTACTTATTGAATACCCTAATCCAGCAACTGAATCTATAAAAAAAAGTCTAAATTTTTTTAAATTTTTTTAAAATTTTACTTTAAATTTTATAAACATTTATATTAAAATCATATTTGATTTTAATAAATTAATATAATAAATACAAAAATAAGTAAAAATGAAATAACATACACCGCTGTGCACATTTTTCATAAGAATCATAGCTATTTTTATTCCCTAAACATCCTTTGTACTTAAATTCAACACAACGCATCAAAGACTCGTCATAAGCAAATTTTTTAGAAGACGGACAAGAATCACTAAATACCAAACCACAAACATTCCCAGTTCGATTAATATCTAAATATATTATTATTATTATTGTTATTATTATTATTAATATATATATATATATATATATATATATATATATATATATATATATATATATATATATATATATATATATATATATATATATATATATATATATATATATATATATATACATATATTCATATGTGCAAGTGTGTATACGTTTATGTGGGCATATGTGTGCGTGCTGAATACAAATAAAAAAGATTTACCTATAGAAACAAAATAAAAACAAAAAAAGTTAATCAAAATCAAATATAAACCATACCACAAAAATGATAACAATTTTCTAATGTATATCTAGGAAGTATTTTGTCTGAATAACAATTAAGTGAAATATCATTAATGTAATTTAAGCAATAGGATTTCTCTTTTACTGAAGCAAATACATTTATGTAATTGTCTGTATTGTTGATAATATCATCAATGTAAGTTTTACAGACACCACTTTCAACAGGTAGTTTGCTAATAATCTTTTCATCACATTTGGCACCACTGTAACCTTTTTGACATATACACAAAGGTTGACCATCATTAGAAAACCCACAATAACCTCCAGGGCCACAATTTAGTTCGCATATAGCTAAAATTTAATTATTTAAAAACTATTAATTTAATTTAAGAAACTTTTTTAAATCAAAATTATAAATAAATTCTAAATAAATTCTAAAAAAAAAAAATTATTTAATACATATATCAGTTTAATTTAACATAAAAATATTGTTATTATAAAGTGTTCTGATTATTGTTATTATAAAGTGATGATTTGTTCTTTTTTTAGTTTTGATGTTTACTTTTTCGACAACTTCTTTCCATCTTATTTAATAATAATAAATTAATAGTCATAATTAAATAATAAGAAAAATAAATTACTCATAGAAAAATTTATAAAAATAACGAAAAGGATACATCTACAAAATATTATCCTTGTTCAATTTTATTTTAAATTATTCAAGCCAAATTTATCTTTAAACAAAACACTATCAAGATTCAAAATTTTATTGTTTGATAGTTTTGATACCTTTTAGAAGCAGAAAGACGCTATTTAGGGTAGATTTAGGGTAATATGAGTATTAGGTAATAATAGCATACCGAAAGATTTCTAGGATGTGAATAGTAAATTTTAAGTTGCTTTGTTATTTTTGATTTGATTTTATGTGGTGATAGTAGAAAGCAGTGAAATTACTGTATATTTATGCTCAGTAATTAACCATTCTCATCTAATTAAAACGCTATTCAATTTTTTTTTTTGTTAAAATATTATCATTACACATAAAAGAACCAGTGGTGAGAAACTTTGATGTTGAAATATAGACATTTACTTTTTAATAAAGAAAAATTTGTCAGCCAGAAATCTGTTCCATTTTTATTTGGAATACAATGCATAGAAACATTTATTATAGACTTCATTTAAAGATTCAATTTTTGTATAATTTAAGTATGCTTAAATTACCACGTCTTGCCAAAAAACAAAGTCGAATTGTTTCAAGAAAATAAAACTTGATTATTTAATAAATAGTTTTTTTTAACAATGAGGTTGGTATTTCTAATTAATGTTAGTCAGGTTGGTATTTCTAATTAATGTTAGTCAGGTTGGTATTTCTAATTAATGTTATTTTTTAAACTTAATTTAAAGTGGTCTGGGTAATATGAGCAATTTCACTACTTGTTTAAAATCTCTGTGTTTTTTAGAAAAAAATTTTGATGCTAAAAATTGTTTATTCGCAAGAGTTTTGCATCCAGCATAACTATTTTTTTAAATATTCTAATTTTTGCTCAAGGTGTTTAATACCTTAATTTACTTTACTAACTAAAAAGTTAGTAATTTGCAAACAACGGGTTTAAAAAGTTTATTTAAAAAATGGTAAAATATTTTGTGAAAATTGTCAAAAACAGCAATTTTTCTCAATTAAATAAAATTTTAAAATTATTTTAAAACTTTTTAAAGATTTTTAGTATGTTTTTCAACTAAAATTTTGCTTTTTACTAAATTTATAAAAAGCACCTAAACCAAAATTTCAGTTTAAATTGAAATTTCTGATGAAACCAATACCGAAATAGAATTTCAGTCATTAGTAAAATGTTTCACCTACTGTAGGTTCATAATGCTTCCTAATAAACCTACAAAAGGCAAAACAGACTGTAGCAGAAATTTAGAAATATATATATATATATATATAATATATATATATATATATATATATATATATATATATATATATATATATAAATTGTTGGCTTAGAGAGTACGGAAGGCAAAAAATGATTCTTTTGACAACAAATTATGTCACTTTTAATTACTTATGACATTCATCCAACATTTCCTTGTTGTCAAAAAGTTAAAATTATTAATTTAATCCCTTTTTTTAAAAACCGCAAAAATGCAAATTTAATTGACCATGTTTTTAAAAACATTCTAAATGTTTTTGAAAATTTGTTTTTAAAAGCATTTTTATTTTTTAAATAAAATGTTTTTATTTTTATTTTTTTACTGTAAATCAGGCGCTAGTGTTGCTACATCGACTATCTTATAACCTGATTTTGCAACAGAGTGCTGATACATCAACTGATAAATAGCCTGACTCGCAACAGAGTGCTGCTACATCGACTGACAAATAGCCTGACTCGCAACAGAGTCATTTTGTTATTATTGTTAACATATATTATTATATTATTATTTATGTATATTATAAATATATTTTATATATTATTATATTATAACAGAGTTTTTTTATTAATTTTTTTATTTTTTTGCTTTTGTGAAAAACTATATGATTTAGGTCAGCAAATGATTTTGATTAATGATGATTAATGTCCACAAACTTTTAATATTATTTACAATAATATTAAAAGTTTAATATTATAACAATACAAAATAAATATTATAATATTTAAAATATTTTACCTTGTTTACAAAATGGATTAATTTTGCTTGAATATGCTGTTGGACATTTGCATGTAAGGGGACCAGCACATACTCCGCCATTTTCACAAAAATCATCACAGTAAACTGAAACAAACATTTGAATTTAGTTAGAATAATATTTATTACAGTTTCATTTATTATCATCAATCATATTTATATTATAATTATATAATATTTATATTATATTATAATAAATATTTATAATATAATTATAACTATATACTAATAATGTATACAATATATTCAATTAAATAACACATAGTTAATTTAATTATTACATATATTCAATTAAATAACACATTGTTAATTTAATTATTACATATATTCAATTAAATAACACATAATTAATTTAATAATCATAATATATAATAACTTTTATTTTGACACATTTTATTCATCAAAACAAAAAAAAAATAATTTTTACATTTATCACACTTATTTCCCATGTAGCCAGCTGGGCACACACATATTCCTGCTATAGGATCAACACATTTACCACCATTTTCACAGTTACAAGATAAATCTAAAGTTAAATAATATTTCTGTAAAAAATTCAAAAGAAATAATAAAAAGTAAATTACTAGTATAAATAAAATAAATGGAAAACTTATGAAAAACAAGACAACAAAAAACTTGAACTTTTTTAAAAGAGCCTAACAATAAAAGAACTAAAACTTCATAAAAGTACAATAGTGGTGAAGCCTCATTAAAAATAGTGGTGAAGCCTCATTAAAAAGAAGTCTAAGAACAGTTGCGGTTTGACTAAGAACAATTGTGGTTTGACTTGTTAAAGGTATATTTATTTGTTTATGGTAGCTTCTATTGTGTAGGTTTACTTAACTTGTTTCAATTTAAAAATTAATTATTTATACTTTAATGACTTGCTTATAATTTTGTTTTACTTAGTAAAGCAAACTTACCCTGAATATCCCTTCTCTTTATTTTATGACTTCCTAAACCTTAAAAAAAAAAAAATTTTATATAAAAAAAATCTTAAATCTTTAAAATTTTTTAAAAACCATAACTCAAGTCAACTTTCACTTTTCAACTTTAACTCAAGTCAACTTTCACTTTTAAAAACCATAACTCAAGTCAACTTTCACTTTTAAAGTCACAATAATTATAACCATTATAATAGTGATGATGGTCACTATTATAATGATTATAATTATCATGATAATTATCATCACTATTTATCTTTTATAATATTTTTAATAACTTTATTTCTTTATAAATATTCTAAAAACATCTTTTTTTTTTTGCCTGTATTTTTTAATTAAGAATGTAGAAACACTACATACAGACACTCAACTATCTGCACTTTTGCACACTACATACTGCAACTCTCACTGAAACATCAGAAAAACTCTACACTCACCTCTTTGATTCCTGACCTTAAAGTTAATATCTATTTCATTTTTGTTTAGTCTTTTTTAATTCTTTTCTTTCATAAAAATATCACTTTTTCATAAAAAAGAAATTTTAGTTTTTTTTCTTCATAAAAAGTTTTGATATGCAAACTCTTTCATTCATTTTATTCATTTGTTCAGTTTTTTTCACTCAAACATATCATATTCACTTCATTTGTTCAGTTTTTTTCACTCAAACATATCATATTCTTAATCATATATCATATCCTGAATTAAAAATATTATATCTTCAATCACATATGAAAGGTTCCTAAGGTTTCTCCATAAAACTGAAAATTATGCAAAATTTAATTTTAATCAAATGTTTTCACTTACTAATGCAGTTTTTTTTACATTCCTCTAGAGATGAAAAATGATGAGAAGCACAGTCTAATTGAATTCCATGTTTACATGCTCCATTTTCGTAGTAATAAGCAGAACTTTGATTGTTACATTTTGACTCATCAAAGATTGAGTTGCATAACTCTAAAATATAAATTAATGAGAATATACTATGAAATATTATTTACTATATAACTAAATAAGTAGCTACCCCACTGCCACAGCCACCCACACACACTACAATATATTTATATACAATAACTAAATGTTTTGCAACTATTCACCCTATTATTTATTAATTAACTAACTATTATTATTCTAGATAATAATAAAACTTAAATCACCTCTATCACAATTTAATTCACAATATGCTTGATGACCATTTGTAGGTGACTTTTGGTGGCAAAGCCTGGTATGGATTTCATTAAGATACTTCTTACAATTTTTTCCTATATAGTCTGAATTCAATGTTTCAATCAACTTGGTTTGGCACAAACCACTATTAAATGGAGTTAAACAACCTATACAAACAAATCAAAAGTTAATAAATTATAAACATTCATTAATTTTAAGATTTTCTAATGTACAAGGTTTTTAAAACCTTTTTTTTAATACTTTTATTTTTCTAATATAATATATTATTAAATTATATTTTTTTATCATATATTATTCTATATATACTTCTATTACATTTATACTTTAATTTCAAGCATTATATACAATATAATATAATACAAGCATTCAAGATGAGAAGAGCACTATCACTACACCCATTGCTTAACACTATATCATTACACCCATCTTTTAACACTTCATCACAAACCACTACAAATAAAAAATTTGTGGTTAATCAACTTACGATCAGATGTGCTATGTTTGAAATCAGCATCTAACAGTAAATAAAAATTTATTATGAAATCAAATAGTGACACACATAACAATATATAAACAAAAATAACATGTTATATATGTATGAAAATAAGATAATAATAAAATAAAAATTCTAGTTTTATATATATATATATATATATATATATATATATATATATATATATATATATATATATATATATATATATATATATATATATATATATATATATATATATATATATATATATAAAGCAAAACTGTATTTCCTATTTTCCTGATTATTTTTTTATTTTTTTTAATTTCTTGGTACACTTTAATTTATAAATACAAAAAATAACTAATTGTAATATTGTTATTTAAATAAATAAGCCTACAATAATAATTAGTCTACAATAAATAAGCATAGATAAGTTGATTTAAAGTATAAAAACATCACTTTATAAATATTCAAAAATTCTAAAAAATTTCTCAATATGGTTGGAAACTTCTTAATTGCTATTATATTAGGTGATTTTTTTAATCAACAATGAACAACTTTTATTGTCTATCATCTTGGATTTGAAGATTAATAAAAAATTAAGTTGCAGTTTGCTCTTGTTTTTTAAATTCATTTTAAACTTTTAAATCGAGATGCTCAATGTGACTTCTCACAGCAATGTAAAAACTATTATCTACTTCATGTTTTGATATATTGTCATACTTCTCTGCTGTCATTAAGATAATTATATATTCTGACTTAGCTGTATTTATATACCTACCTAGTTCTCAATTTCATATACTTTTAATACTAGACTATATAATAGACTAGATTAGACTGAAGAAATGCTACAAAAATATCAACAAGAATCGGGGTCCCAGAAATACCATCATTATAGTAATAACATCTTTATTGTTGCTATAAAAGGTCACAAGCAACGCTTTCTCTGCAACAATATGGAGAAAAGCATGAAAAGAAGCAACTTTTGCCATATGGTGGTCAGACAGCTTTACATAAAAAGAAGAAGCCATATGGTGGTCAGACAGCTTTTACACAAGTATAAGAAGAATCGTTGATCAAAGTAGGTGGTAAAAACCTATTCTGCCAGGGACAGAATAGGTTTTTAGCTTTTTGAAAAGACACAAAGAACAGCTCTCATTGAGACAAGCTCAAACTGTTGTGCTCAGGCATATGCTGTTAAAGTTAACAAGTAATATGATAATTTAACAGAAAGCATGGTTTATATTCCAGCCCTTGATTCCAACTAACTATAATGAAACTAATATGTCTGATGACCCAGGAAAAGCAAAATTGGTTTTCAAAAGCTAAATATCTTGAAAAGATTATAAACCAAACTAAAAGTTTAACATCTGTTTGCAGGAACTGCTTCAGGAAAGGTACTAACTCCATACATAGTGTTTAAAGCTGAAGATATGTGAGACTCATGGTACAATGGTTGACCACAAGTTGCAAGATATAACTACTTATAGTCTGGTTGTTTTGACTTACTCCCATGACTGGTTTTCAATAGTTACTTTACCTTTTTATTATACCATTATTTAATCCAAAGTCGTCATAGGAGACATTCTGGTTTCCTATTTGAAACCAGCTTTGTTGCTATTTGTGAAGACCTTCATTTATATTTTGTATTCTTGCAACCAAATAGCACCTACTCAACACTACCCGTTGACGTTCTTTTCTTCCAACCATTGAAGATGAAGATGATATTTGCAAGCACCATCTATTAGAAGAGGCAAACTTACTTTTGATTCCTGACTTTGGAGACTGTAGTACTACCAAGGTATTTTGTATTTGCTGTTGTATTTCCTGTATTTTGTATTTTGACATGTTTGAGTTGAACTTACTTTTGTATTTTTTTTTTCTTAATTTTTTGTGTATAACTACAATAAAACAGTTTTTTAAAATCAAAAAACTCCCTATAAAGCCTCACTAATAGAAATTCTACTATACACAGCTATGAGTTTAAGTGACTTTTGAGGTTTAAAAAAACATGGGGTATGAAACTTGTCTTAAACCTCATATTATGAGGTAACATTTGTGCAAGTTGAATGGATAATAACTAATAACCTTGTAGATAAAAAAAAAAAAAGGTGAAAAAACTGTGTTACAAACAACCATAACATTATGGTTGTGTGTAACAACTGATGATCACATAAAGAGCGAAACTGCAAGTATTGTTACAAATTTAATTGTACTTAATTATTATTTAAATATATATTTGTTCTACTTTTGTATTGAGCACTGTCTACCGAATAATTACTTTTATTACTGGTATATATATATATATATATATATATATATATATATATATATATATATATATATATATATATATATATATATATATATAATCGAGTGTTATAATTATTTAGTTTTTGTTACAATTATTTAGTTTTTACTACATTTTTACAATTATTTAGTATTTACTATATATTGCTCTACTTTGATGTTGAGCGCTCTTTGATGAGAAATATTTACACAATTGCTACAATATATATATATATATATATATATATATATATATATATATATATATATATATATATATATATATATATATATATATATATATATATTTATATATATATATATATATATATATATATATATATATATATATATATATATATATATATATATATATATATATATATTATATTTATATGATATAAATAATAAAAATTATGATAAAGTCCACAATATAGTAAAAAAATTATTAAGAAATTTACCATCCAATACAAACTCTGTAGATGACTCAAAGCTTTCCAGAGGATGTAGGATTCTGTAAATAAAAATTTCAATTTAAGCATCCATATAAATAGAATCATGAATATGATTCTATTTATATGGATGTTTACACAAAAGAGCAAATGATTTAAAATGATGACTATCTGTGAAAAGAGAGCAAAATATAAATTTCATTTTGTTTCATTTTCAAAATTCTCATACATACCAGAAACATTTAGTCCATGTGAAAAATACACATTCATTAATTACTGCTCACTAAAAGTCAATCACAAATATTCTAAAATGAAAAATGTTACTTATCATTCATATCTTTTCTCTGAATGATTTGGATTTTTTCTCTGAATGATATGGATTTTTCTTCTTATTGAGGTTAAAAAAGTAACATGTTGTATTTATTTGTTTTAGTAATATATTTATAACTAAAACATATTGTTTCGTCACATATAACTATGTCTTACAGTAACACGTTCCAGTAGTTTGTTACAGTTATATGATCAATATTCGATAGGATATTCAATAGGATTAGGATTGTTATAATTATCTTGCAACTGGTAACATGTAATTTAAAATAAAATGTTTTTATTTAATAGTGGATATGCAACTCTTTTATAATCTTCCTAAATTGAGTACAGCTCTAAAATTTAAATGGTGCTGAGGTTGGCAGTATATTTTCTATAGCTCTGTAGTAGTTCTCAGAGTGGCTGATTCTATTAACAACTATAAAATATCAGAGTATCAACAGCACCATGTTGCCCATAAAATACGATTGTGTAGTTTTTAATGTGAATTTTCAAGGCCAAATAAGGAACCCTTTTTATGATTTTGATTTGATTAACAGGATTGACGCAAATGCATTATCTATTGCTACCGAGTCAATTGCTAAAGGTGTCACTACCTGTGATTGAGTCAAAATTTTTATCAATTTAAAATATTGAATAAAATACTTAAAATTATAAAACAAAAATCACTTTTATTATTGGTGACTTTAATGCTTAAATTTATAACTTTGTTTGAGAAAAAAGGTCTCTTTATCATTGCAAGAAAAGAATCTTATCTGAGTTAGACTTCTAGGGACTTTACTCATTAATAAAGACAATTCTAACATTCCATCTCTTAAACATGGGTCTAATCTTATTATCTCTCCCAAGGAAAAAGCAGAACTATTTGCAAAAAATCTTTTCTAAAATTCATTTGTTGAATCTCGTAATGACACTTTTTTTGTCATCCAAAAGAAACAGGTTAATTCACAGTTAGACATCCAAATCATTCCTACTGCCATACAAACTGCCATTGCTAAAGCTATTTCTAACTTAAGCCGTTTAAAGTTACTTGTCTGGATAACACTCCAGTTAAATAGTAGTCCATCTACATTGTAAATGTAGTTGCACTACATTCGATCTGCAAAGTTTGAACTTTTAAGAGATTGAACAGATATGGATTAGATTTGGTTGATATATTATGATGGATATTTTTTAGTTTTCGCATTTTTTGACGGAAAAAAAAATTCGTTTAAACCGAATAACTGTAGCTGTTTAAAATTCCCAAATTTCAATGACCTTTTATTTTTTAGTAGTAAGACAATATTAATAAAAATTCCCAATATTTAGTTTAACAATATTGTATAACAATATCACCCGGAACATTTATTAAATTTCGTTAATAACGAAAAAATATAATCAGTAGAGAAAGTTTAGAGCGAATAAGAATAGAAAGTGAATTATAATGGAGAATTTTCAGATTAGAGAAATGGAGAATTTTCAGATCTAGGTGGGTTGAAAACTAAAGTTTTAAAAATTTCTCCTGTTGAAACCTTAGATCTATTTTAAATAATAGAATAACACTGGGATTTAAAAAACTAATGAATAATAGACATTTTTAGGGATTCCGACCTTTGCATATTTAACGGATTATTCAACTATATTTATATAATATGGAATATTTAAAGAATATTTTAAAAAAGGTTAGTTTTTTGCGTTTATTATTATTATTATTATTATTATTATTATTATTATTATTATTATTATTATTATTATTATTATTATTATTATTATTATTTGTAATTAGCGTAAGTAATTGTATTGTATATTAACGCTTATTAACGCTTCAGAAGGAATGTTGTGGGCGCGTCGTATATATTATATTGAACATAACGTTTATACTGTTTATTATACTCTCGGGGTTATTTTGCAAATGTATAAATAATGAGTAGAGATATTTAGAAGACAGTAAGAAAAAACAAATATATTTTATTATAACAAGCTATTTCGGCAATGAGTATCGTTATAAAGTTTGCGGATCTGGTTTCACAATACGATGGTTCGGGTGATTTTTCAGAATGGATACAGAAATTGGAACTGGTAGCAAAACTTCAAAAAAGTTGACGAGCTGCATGTGGTGCTCCCCTTATTTCTTTCTGGTGGGGCGTTTGCCGTTTATCAAGGCCTAAGTGATGAGATAAAAGAAGACTACAATGAAGTGAAAACTGCACTGACTACTGCCTTCTCTGCTTCTCCGCTAACAGCATACGAAGAGTTTGTAAATCGCCTTCTTAAAGAGAATGAGTCCGTTATATAGTCCGTTATATAGTATATCTCGCAGAATTAACAAGACTGAGCAAGCTAATATCATCTCACGTGAGCGAAGAGTGGATAAGGTGCGCATTTATTCTTGGATTACCTGACGAAGCAAGAAAACAGTTGCAAACTGCATGCTCAATATCAACAATGTCGCTGTGCCAGATTGCTGAAAAATCCAGAAGTTTAATAATTATACGTCGCAAAGAATCGTTTTTTGTCAGTTGCGTGAATCCGGTTGCCATTAGTTCAAAACAGGTTCCTATAGGACGCGGAAAAAAGATCATAACGTGCTACCGTTGCGGTGAGGATGGACATATCAGTCTAAATTGCAGCAAAGAGATTGAGAAGAAGAGGTGGTTTGTGTGTGGAATGGACAATCACCTGGCCCAATACTGCTATAAAAGTTGTACGAACTCAAAAAGCGTGGAAGGGAAGCCACCCGTTTTTGTGCAAGGGGCTTCCCACAAATTTAAAACCGCCAAATCTCCGCGTATATGTCAATGGAAGAAAAATAAAAGCATTGTTAGATACTGGATGCTCCAAATCAATTTTAAGTCGGGATATTGTAAACCCAAAAAATGTCAAACTTGCAAGCAAAAAGGTTGTTATGATGAATGGAAAGTCAATTGAAGTACAATACCAGACTGTTGTTAATCTTTCTATAAATGATACCACCATCGATTTGGAATGCCTGGTTGCCAACATTGTTCCCGAATATTAAATGTTACTTGGTATGGACGCAATACGACTGCTCGGAGGTGTCCAAGTTGGGAGAGACGGTGAAACCATAAACTTTAATGTGGAGCAACTAACTATCGGCGCTACTGCAGTCTCTCAAGGAAAAACGAATGAAGTATCCACGCCTACCGTTCAAAAGCTGATTGATAAAGACTTCGTAGCAGAATTCAAAAATGGAACCACCAACTTTAACAAACAAAATTCCAAACTACCACATCTCTGAAGACGTTAAAAGTGAGTACGCAACGGAAATAAGTGAATGGATAGCACAGGGATGGCTGAAACCGTTTGAAAGGAAATGTAATGGCAGTAATTCAACGAAAAAAATTAAAAGTACGTCCGGTGATGGACTACCGGGAGCTGAATCAATTTGTATACAGTCATACTACAGATGGCGATGTTTGCAGTACCAAACTTCGCAACTGGAGAAAGTTGGGAGAAAATCTTGAGATAATTGATTTAAAAAAAGCGTACCTGCAGATTCGTGTCGACGAAGCATTATGGAAATATCAAGTTGTGGAATATGAAGGGCAGCGATATTGTCTAACAAGATTGGGTTTTGGTTTAAATGTGGCGCCCAGAATAATGACAAAAATCTTAAAAAAGGTGTTATCCTTAGACAAAGTTTTCGAGTCTGGGACGGATTCATTTATTGATGACATCATTGTCAATAATAACATAGTGTCAAGTTGTAGAGTTCAAGAACTCTTGAAAAAATATGGCTTGGATTCTAAACTGTCAGAAAAACTTGTCGGTGGGCGTGTGCTTGGATTGCGAGTGTACAAACAAAACAACCAATGCGTTGGAAACGTGACAACATACCCAAAGTTCCTGAAGGAAAAATGACGAGTCGGCAAATCTTTTCTTGGTGTGGACAGCTGACTGGACATTTTCCAATAGCAAATTGGTTGCGCCCTTTGTGCAGCTATCTAAAAAGGGTTTCGAGTAGTTGTGGATGGGACACTTAGGTGAACGATCGTGTTGTCAAATTAGTAAGCAGTTTAAATGAAAGACTTGCAAAGGAAGATCCCGTTCATGGGTGATGGAACGTAAAAAACACTTCTGAAGCAACAGTGTGGTGCGATGCAAGCAGTTTAGCTGTTGGCATAGTTCTGGAAGTGGCTGGGGAAATAGTAGAAGACTGCTCGTGGCTGAGAAAACAAGATGATGCGGCTCACATTAATCTCGCAGAGTTAGAATAATATGGAAATGTGATAAATGAAATCAATCTAGCAACAAAATGGGGATTCGAATGTATTACCATAAAGTGTAACTCGGCTACTGTTGCTGGCTGGTTGAAATCCTTAATCATCGGTGACAAACCCATTCGAGTACACGGTCTTGGAGAACCACATGTCCGTCGCCAGTTGTCGTTAATTGAAGACCTTGTGAAGGAGTGTGGTATACAGTTAAAACTTTTCCTGGTTAAGTCAGCAGAAAATAAAGCCGATGCTCTTACGAGGGTACCACAGAATTGGCTGCATTCAAACCATTCTGTAATGACAGCAAATCTTGTACCGCCTGATGTGAAGTCGTTTCATAATCTTCATCACTTTGGAGTAAATCGAACCCTTTATTTGATGAAACAGACATATCCGAAGGAGAAAGTTTTTAGAAAAGACATTGAATCAGTTGTTAAAAGTTGTCGAAAGATGTTTAGCGAAAGATGTTTATCGGTAGATCCTGCTCCAATCAGATGGGAAGAAGGAAATCTTGAAGTTGGAAAGAGCTGGTACCGTTTAGCTATTGACGTTAACCACTATAAATCAGAGATTTATTTTTCTATCATCGACTGTGGCAAAAGGAGCAAGTTTGCAATTTGGAGGAAGCTACAAGACGAGAAAGAAGCAACAGTGTGTTTCCATCTAGAAGAAATATTTCGAGAAAGAGGATCTCCGTGGCAAGTTCTTCTTGACAACAGCAAGACCTTTCGCTCAAAACTCGTTGGTGAATTATAAAAATATTAAAAATATGTGACGAACCACAAGAGAGGAGAGCGCTTTATTAAGAGGATCAAGTGGTTCATAGGGGTGAAATCCCCTATTTTGACGATTTCCCAGATTTGGATCCTGTTAAAAAAATATATTTCTTCAATGTTAGTTTTTTATTTTAAAAACTTTTGATAGCTCCTTGCTACAAATTTTTATTTTATAGAAAAAAATAATTTACAACCAAATTGCAGAGTAGATGACCGCCGCTCCACCTGTGTCATCTCCGCCAGAAAGTAAGTTACTAATTTTAATATGATTTTATTTAAAAAAGTTTTAATATTGAATGCAAAGGTTAAAAATTCTTTTTAGTTGTTATATCTAATCAGATAAAGAAGATAAAAAATTTAAGTTTATTGTATTGTATTTTTTGTATTTTGTAAATTTCTTTATATTGTATATACTTATATTGGAATTTTAGATTGTTATATTTTATATATACCTTTTTAATTAGTTCAAAGGGTTGTTTTTAATACCCCATGTTTTATATTTCCCTGTTATTATAAAAAAGTACAGAAATCATCATTTCATTTTTTTTTTAATTTTTAATAATATGGAGAGATTTTTATAACAATTCAATGTCAACATTTAAATAAATGTTATAAAGAATTGTAAAAACACGGAAAAAAAAAAAAAGATAATAGTAATTTAAACTTTATTAATAAAGTTTTTGAAATTCAAACGTTTAGATTATAACGAAAAAAAAAAGTTAAACACTCTGAATATTTATCGTTTCCATTTCACACAAAAACTTCTGAACAGCTTTAAAGTTATCTTTGTGAAAAGATTGTGAAGCATCGACGAGTTTCAAAAAAATTTCGCCATTTTCTTTAAACTCGGAATTAGCAAAAAAAAAAAACTCAGCAAATACACTAAAGCCAACAAACTTGCAGAATGATAGCACTACTGTGCGCACTTTTGTTAGATTTAAATCAACTAGTGATAAAACTTTACATACAAGCTTAGTTACAGCTCCTGACTTTTGCGTGGATAGCAGAGTTGACAAAAATGTTTGTACACTTAACTTCCAATAGGTAATGCAATTCTTTTACTTTTTTACAAAAAAAAAATACTTTTTAGATAAATTTCACCACTTTTGACCAAGTGGTAAAAACCAAGTTTATATATTAAAAATTAATTTTTTCTATTACTTGTTATATATATAAATAAAAATTCATATATAAATGCATATATTTTATTATACTTTTTTACATTTTTTAATTATACTTTATATACATTTGATAAATCTTACATAAATTTTATATATTTTTAACAACCATATGCGTGCTTTAAGCTTAAGCATTTCATATTTAGATTGATGTTCCACCATTATATTTAACTGACAAACTGGCATTAACATAAATATCTAGCACTTAAAGCATTAGTTGAATTATGTTACTTAACGTCCCTTGTTGCATTTTACGCAATACCTCTTGAGCAGCCATAAAGTTATCTCTCTAAAAAATTTTCAAAAAAAGTATTTTTCACCCCACTCAATGCAACAGTAAAGCTTTACTGTGTAAATTTTGACCCCCTTTAAAGACGAATATAATTTTAAATTTTTATTATCTTAAACTAATTGTATATTTCAAATTTACTATTTTAAAATTGCGGAAAATCTCAACTTTGCAATGCCTGTATTTTAACGTCATGAATAAGGCGTATTGTTTCGAAGTCTAATGTGATTCACATGATGCGGAACGCCATTAAACTGTTTTGAAACGTATTAACTAAATTTTATCGGGTGAATGACGCGTAACTTTGCGTCTGTGTTTTTTTTTCCTAGAAGGTTTTCCTTTTTCAATCTTTTGATACCACTTCGATAGCTATATATTTTGTTCGTGAAGTTCCTAGGTAAATGATCTTTTGCGGTGCTCTGTGATAAAGACTGTAAGACCTTCTTGGAGCACCTTATTAACCATAAAATAAATAAATACCCGCAAATATTTCTCAAAATTGCAAATGTTGTTTATGTTGTCTTTGCCTATTCTAATGATTTAGTTAGCATATTGATGATTACCTCTAAATTTTGTTATGATGGGATTTACAGGAAACCAAAACACAAAAAGTAGAAATGGCCCTTTAACACTATAGCATTCCTTTACTAACGGTTTAAGGACGTTACAAGTCCAAAGAACGTCCTTAAGACGTCCAACGGATGTTCTGTGGCCATACGGAAATCTATAGAACTCTTGTTGAAGTTTCTTAATTTAATGATTATGCTTATCCAATAGAAACAAAAGACTTTCGAATATAAAGATAAAAAAAAATCTATTCTAAAGTAGTTCACGTGATGCATCATGTAATGTTTTATGCAAACTCAGTTTTAATGATAATATAATATAGATAGGAATGATAATATAATAATACTTAATATATATCAGACTAAATATAACTTAATTATAGTTTTATAGTTATTTAAAAGCATGAAAGAAATTATTGAAGCATTATATTTTACTTTTTTGTAATTGTTTTTTCTTATTGTTTGTTAAACATTTTTCTAATTGTTGTTGTAATAGAATTGTTTTTGGTTTTAATTTATTGGTCATAGTTGACTTTTATTAAACTAAATGAAATATTCTTTTATGTAAACCAAAAACCTTTTTAACTAAATAATTAAAAAATAATTCAGTTGTGATTTTTTTTTTTGAACCTGCTAATTATAATTAATTCCACTCTTAAGCCAAACTATGTTTAACCTCACCCTTAAAAATATTATATTTAATTCCGCCCGTAAAAATACAACGTTTAATTACACTCTTGAAAAGTCAAATTATGTTTAATTCCCTTCTTAAAAATATGTTCAAAAAATATGTCCCCCTCTTAAAAGTTCAATTATTACTCAAATTGATTAAACTTAATCAAAACATTTAAAGTACTTAAAAGGAAAAACATACAAGTAAATACAAACACAGAGTAAAAAAACTAATCAATAAGTTTATGAAAATAAAAAACTAATCGACTAAAATTTCACCATTATGAATCTCTTTTCTATGAACAATTTGTTATCGAGGCTATCAATCTGAAAATCAAAAGAATTATTCACTTTTTCTTACAATTGTTAAATAGGAAGCAAGAAGAAAAGGAAGAAGAAAAAAGAAGACACTCAAGCTTTAAATTGTTATGTATGATCCATAGATGGATGATGATCCAGAATGCAGATTGAGGAGAACTATTAGAATCTTAAGAAAAACGATGGTGTTTAAAGAATGAAGCTAAAATTGCAAAGCACAATCATCAAGAAAATAATTCTGGGCTTTAAAATGTAAAGCAGTTATAAAAACTTATTGAAAAAGAAAAATGCGAGTAATTCAATACTTAAAGAAGAAAAACTTTTCCATAATTTAAAAGTAGATTTTACATATTTTAGACGTTTTATTCACAATGCATTTGTTACTTAATTTTCCTTTAATAACCAGAAAAGTTCCAGTTTTCTTTTTTCTCAAAGATTTGGTTTTGAATGAGTCCATGCCTTGTTGCAGGGCAGATGAAATAAATATATGGGAGTTAAGAATAATAACTGAATATTAAGTTTTAAAAAACCTATTATTGAGTCTGTACTTCGTTAAATTAATGATAAGGGAATTAAAATGTTAGTCTAGGCTTTGATTTACCAAATGAGAAGATATCTATTTTAATTGAGTACATGTTACTTCAAAATGGTGTTTTGTTATGACTGTTAGCCAGTTAACCGGTGGTACTAATGTTTAATATCATTAACTCACAGCTAATACTGCGTTTAGCAATGCAAACATTTAAGAGCCTCAGAAAACAATATAATTAGCAATATTGTTAATACAATGAATGACAAAGTAAGTTTATTTGTTGAATTGTTAAATGAATCATAAAGTTTATTGTTTAATGATTCTTATTGTCATCTGTAGAAATGATTACTAAATGACTCAGTTAACTCTAAAAAAACAAAAACAAATGAACAAGATAATATTATAAAAATGATGAATGATTTTGATCAAAATCTAAAAATTTTTGAGTGTTTTAATTATTTTTATTTAACTATCTTTTAAAATTAAAAATTAATTTTATTTAACTATTCATATTTCACAGGCCTAAATTTACTCAAAAATTTTTTTTTAATGTTTTTAGCCTCTCTTACAGTTTTATGTGGTTTTATGTGGTCTTGACATTTGAATTAACATTGAATAATCAGAAGTTCTTAAAACTATGGTTAAACAATTAACTGGTCCTCAAAATGAAGAAATTTATTAGAAAGTGATATTTGTTATCTATCTTGAATTGATATAAATTATTTTCAATGTTCTACAAAAATTGCCTATGGTTAAGTTAGAAATTTTTAAATTTATGGAAATGATTTTTTTTGTAGGATTGAGAAAAACTGGATATCTGGTCCAGTTTTTAAAAATCCGAATCGGATTTTAACAAACCGGACTAGATATTTGGTTTTGCTCACCCCTGCTTTTTCGTATATAAGTTACCAAATACGGATCTGGAATTCTTGGCACAAAATTGAATGAGTCTTATCCTGAAATTTCATGAAAAATCAAAACAAGTAGCTTTATGTTTTAAGAGTTGTTCATTTTTAAAGTCGTTTATTTTTAAAGTTGTATATTTTTGTTAAGTATTGTTTACAAGAATAATATTGAGTGTTTTACAAAATATCTTTACAGTATTTAGATTGCCGTAAAAAATTCTTTTAATTTTTATTCTTTATAAAAAGACGATTAAAAGAAGGTTAAAAACACGAATTAATGATGTAAATTTAAAGGAAGATGGCGCAATTGTAAGAGGGGAGGGGCTGCCAAATAATTGCGCTCAATCTGAGAATATTGCTGCACCACAAGTAATCTTGTAGAATGGTTTAGTATATAAAACTAAAAACTCCTTTAAGTATATTTACCAACAAAATTTCAGCAATCAGGTTATATCAGTAATTTATTTGTTAGAGAAAGTTTAGCTCAGGAAGTCAACTAAATAGTTTAATATATAGCTGGCTTTCAATGAGATTTTTTTCAGATAAACAGTATTAGTTTTGCCATAAAAATATTTTGACACATTCAAAAATACAATACAACATTACTATTAATTTTTTATTGCGGTTAATAAGGTACTCCCACGAATTTGTGCTCTGTTGCAAATACGTGTTACTTCGCAAGTGTAAAGGCGACTTTTTACTTATCCGTTTTTCTACGGGAACGGGATAGGAAAGGAAAAAAATATCTCACTTGATTATTTTACTGTTCCTTTTCCAGTTTGCGTAGAAAAACAGGTGCGTGGAAACTCACCTTAAAATTCAAAGTTTTAAATTTGCGATCACCGATTTGTTACATTAAAATAAAAAAAAAATAAAAAAGTCAATCTTTCATTTTTTCTAGTCTATTAAATTATAACAGCTATTAAAAATAATTATTTGAAAAAATTGAAACTTACTTAGTTCCTTCGATTGTTTTCCATTTCTGTGTTAAAAAAACAAATAACCAAATATTTCCGAAGAGGTACATTTCCCCGTTTCAACGTTGTTATTAATTTAAAGTTTTTTATTTTATAAAAACAAAAAGAACTTGTCTCTTTGAATTTATATCAGATACTAATTTTTTTTTTGAAGAGTATTATAAATGTAAATATATATTTAATTAAAAAATGCTTTGCTTAATATGATAATGTATCGTAGCAACAAAAAGTTGTTGTAATATATCTTGGTAACGCAAAGTTTCAGAAGAGTAACTGTAAACATGAAAATAGGTTCTTCGTTATAACTGTTATGCGACAATAAAGTTACTATGACAAACAATAAATAAAAAGAAAAAAATGTGCAAATATGTCTGAGAAATTTGAGTAACAATTGGTAGACTCATAAACACTGAATGTCTGAAAAATTTGAGTGGGTTACAATTGGTAGACTACCTTAGTTAATACTAAATGAGAAAAAAATAATATATTCAATAGTTTAAGAAAAGCTAAAAACACTTTATCTACAACAACAAATTTAGGCAACCTTTACTGTATCATGTATCCTTATATATCATCATACTATGTATTATAATGACCTCTCGTACTTATCTGAAAGAAATATTTTTCTGGAACAAATCAAACAAACTGGAATAGGTCTGGAACAAATCAAACAAACAAAAAAAAAAGGTGGTTTAGTACAGGTATATATAAAAAAAGCGTTTGAAAAACATTTAGTTCAGAGGACTTACCAAATGACGACTTAAAGTATACTTAAAGTAGACTTAAAGTAGGTTATACTAAATATCAAATTCACAAAAGATTATGTGAACGCAGATTTTTCATCAGAGTATGCAAAACAATAATACAGAGTATGCAAAACAATAATACAATAATTAATACAGAGACAGTGCTGTTCACATACGAGCCTATTGGTAGTCTCAATTTGCAACAAGATTTGATTTACCTGTGTATATCTCTCTCTCATTATGTACATATATATATATATATATATATATATATATATATATATATATATATATATATATATATATATATATATATATATATATATATATATATATATATATATATATATATATATATATATATATATATATATATATATATATATATATATATATATATATATATATATATACTATAGCATATTTGTATGCGCAATTGCTCACTTTTTTTGCTAGCCTAAATTAAGTGAGCGTTTTTAGAAGACGATGAGGGAAAACGAAGAATAATGAATGAAAAGGTTGCTGACCCATACCAAACCCTCAGTCGATGTAGCAGCACTCCACTGCGAGTCAGGCTATTTGTCAATCGATGTATGTACTGAAGTCCCCGGCAGCAGGCTATTTGACGTTAGGTGAGTATGACATCATCATGCTCACCTAACTCAGCAGTATAAGATATATACATGAGGTGAGCCCCGTATATACTGGAGGGTAGCCCCGGACACATAGTTTAAACATGATTTTTCCTCTTTTTTTATCAGTGTGACACAAATATAATTTATAATAATTTAGCTTTGGACTGTTCTCGACACATTTTTAAAAAAATCGCCGTTAAAAATTGCCACCGATATATAAGGAATGAGAATGCAAATGTCGTCATTTAAAAATATAAACGTAGGTTTTTTTATAATGGAAATAAACCCTTAAAAACACTTTTTTTCAAATCTAATGTATTTGGAATTAAATTGGAATTAAATGAATTACTGTTATAGGTTTATGTATTATATTAAATGTATTAATATTTATATAAAAATAGTTGTTTATTATTATTATGTAAACGAATTAAGTTGTACAGAGCCACCCTCCAATCATGTGTCCGATACCACCCGATCATACCTCATTCACAAATACTAGTTTTAAAACCAGTAAATTAAAGTTTTAAACGAACTTTTTTTTAATAACTATTGTAAATAAAAATGCATCTTTAATCATTAAAAAGTTATTAGTTTACATAACTTTTAGGTATATTAATATGTGTATCAAATATGATGATACTTCGCTCTTCTGGTGGTGGGAAACAATATCTTCCCCTCTCAGTCATTCGCTTCGGTATATTATGATAGTTATTTTGCATATGTCATATTTTCACTCAAATAATATTATTATAGTATTAAAAGTCATATAGCTTCTTTAGTTTAAGCTGTACATCAAGTGTCCGGAGTTACCCGCCGTCCGGGGCTACCCGACTTTCCCCTATACTTTTCCGAGATGATGTTTAATTGTGATTGAGTCATTGCAGACTCAAAAACAATAATTCCGCAGCTGCAATCTTAAAAGTTTTTTTTTATTGTTTAGAAAATGGGAGAGGGGGGGGGGGGAAGGGGGCGATTGCAGGCAACTGCCCCCCCCCCCCCAGTGTTTTAGTTGGGGGGATGGGGCTATTAGCCCCTCCGCCCCCTTTTCCTAAGCCTATATATATATATATATATATATATATATATATATATATATATATATATATATATATATATATATATATATATATATATATATATATATATATATATATATATATATATTCATTAAAATTATATAATATTTATCATATAATTTTTCTGTCATAAAAGGTAAAATCTAAAAACCAAAAATTTTCATTCAGAAGACTTAACTTTGTTCCAAGTCTTTTAATTTATTATTTACTAAACAAGAAAACTAATGATGCTTCAAACATTAAGAGCCACAATTTTTTTAATTCTAATATATGCACCAGGCCGTTGAGCCACAATATGAAAACACAAGCCTTTCAGAGTATCCTGAGTGCCAACAGTGTACTGTTGCTCGAAAACATAAATTGTGAAAAAGATTAAGTCCTATCGACTAGGATTAGCTATTCATCAAGATTTACATTGCCTGTACGTAACATAGGCGCAATCTAATATACCGTCTTTTGGTTATAACTGATGACTGGTGTGTCTTAAATTGTTCATTACCTATCCAATCCGACACGTCAACGATAAATGACAACTTAAATTAACAACATGACGTTAAAAATAATCTTTTTTTTTTTTTTTTAAAAAAAATTTTTTAACGTCATGTCATTAATTTCAGTTGTCGGTAGTTGACGTGTTTTTCTTTTTTGAACTTGTTTTTATGATAGACCTATATTAAAACATTGCATAGTTGCACTTATAATAATTAATTTAAAAACTAATAAACCATTGCATTTTTAGATTTAATTCTTAAAAAATTAATTACTTCTATGATTAATTGAAAAGTGAAATAACACTGTGCAACCAGAGCCGTACTTTCGCAAGTGTAACAAGATCAACCGCGCTGGACCCCCGATATTTAAGGGGCCACAAATATGAAAAAACACGTTTTTCTTATATGAAACTTGTTTATAAGAAACTAGCACTAGAAATCTAAGTACTAAATTAGTTTTCGAAAAGAAACTTAATTTATTAAGCTATTTTATTAAGTTCGAGGAATATTTCCTAATTTTGTACGCGCAATCGAATGAAACTCGATTCAAATGAAAATAAAATTTAACTCAAAACTTCCCTTTGGAAAAGTTTTAATATAAAAACCAATCAAATTGAAACATAAAAAATTTGATTAAATTCATAACGATTTAATTTGAAAAAAAAAATTTTTCAAATATATTTCAAATGTACCTAATTATTCTGTTGTTTTATTGTTTCAAATTGTTAGTTTTTATTTATTTTCTAAACAGTTTTGTTAACACTTTTAAACTCGCTTGTCATTTATTTTAAATATACATGCAATATTTAATTACCTCAAATGTCGAAAAGATGTTATGAATGCGGCGTACAAAAAAGAGCGAAACAGATCCGGAAAGTAGCAGAATTAAATAACGAAGGCGAAAGTTCGTCAGTTTCGAACACTACTTTAATCGAAATATGCAATTTAAAAGGTAAATCTCAATTTATTATATTTATTATATATATATATATATATATATATATATATATATATATATATATATATATATATATATATATATATATATATATAATATATACCTATATAATATAGGTAATCCTACAGTTACGCGGCCGAAAATAGTTATATTTTTGCCAGGGGGTTTTGCTACATTGATCTAATAAAAGAAAAAAGGTTGCTTCCCCATGCCAAACCCTCAGTCGATGTAGCAGCACTTCTTTGTAGCAGCAGGCTATAAGATAGTCGATGTAGCAGCACTTCATTGCAAGTCAGGCTATAAGGTAGTCGATGTAGCAAAACCCCCTGGCAAAAATATAACTATTTTAGGCCGCGTAACTGTAGCTTAACCATATATATATATATATATATATATATATATATATATATATATATATATATATATATATATATATATATATATATATATATATATATAAAAAGAGAGAGAGAGAGAATGACCAACTTAAATTACTTGATACATGTATATGATATAATCATTGAAACATAGACATTTATTTTTAGAGTCATAACCATTTTATAATTAAATTTTCATGATGTTATTTAACAATTTACTTTAGAATGAAAAAAAACACAATAAAACTAAAAAAACAAAAAATTCAACGAAAATTGAAAAACAGAGAAGCAAACACAGAAAAGACCATTTATGGAATGATGAATCAATGATATCAGCAATTATTTTAGATGAATAGAAATTTAATGATTTTGCATATAATCGTGCAGCTTTAGGAATCAGATTTGGTCAATTGCAATTTCTAAATTATGATTCCTATAGAAAAATAATGGTGTGGGATTTGCAAAAGGCACAAAGATTTACTTAATGTCATCAAGAAGGTACAGCAGCTATTAGATATCAATCTATGAATGTTTGTAAAGTGTCAAAATATTTTTCCATTCTTAAAAATGTGTTAACTGAAAATAACCTACTTCAGAAACCGCGAAACATTTGGAATATAAATGAGACTGGGATGCAGTTTGATTATCGTCTTGGAAAAACAGTTGTGTAAAAAAGAGTTAAGTATCTTCAATATCGTCAATTAAGTAACCGGGAAACAATCAGAGTAATAACTTTTGTCAATACAATGGGTAACTTTTTTCTACCACATTTCATATTTAAAAGAAAAACTACTAATTCTTTCTCGAGTTTTTGATTTGAGTGGTTGGACAAAGCAAGGCATTCTATTTCTATGGTTTACAAAGACATTTTGTTTTCGAAAATTTGGATTTTTATAAATATATATAAATTTGTTTACTCTTACAATATAATAAAGCTCTCGTTTTTTAACTAAAGTTTATTTTTTTGGCTTTTACAGATTTCATTGCCTTTGACCTAATTGCCCCAAATGGGGGCAAACAAGCACTGGGGTTCTTACATATATTTTGTTTTTTTATAAATGTCTATGAACTTATTTACTCTGGCAACATGAAAAAGTACTTATTCTTTAACTGAAGTTAATTTTTATTATTTTTACAGAGCCTTATTTATTTCCGGCCCAATCACCTTGGGGAATTAAACCTAAATTTTTTACACATATTTCTGATATTTAAAAATGTAAATGAATTTGTTCACCCTGACAGTTTGTAAAATCTCTATTTCTTTATCTAAAGTTAATTTTTACGGTTTTAAGAAAGCTTTTATAGCTTTTGTCCCAATTGTTCCAAATGGGGCAAACGAACGAGCAATGGAATCCTTACCAAGGGCCCCCTAATATGATAATGATAATTTGTAGAATTGAATGCTTTGATTCTTTAGTAAAAAAGAAAACAATAAAAATAATTCAGCATAAGTAATACAACGAAACTCCTTCTCATCGATAGCATTTGAAAAATAAATTTATTATCAAAATTTGGTGCCATAAATCCTAAAGGAAAACTCAACAAATCTTGACGCAAAATAGGAGTTATTGAAGCCAACATAAGTTATCATAACTTTACAAATTTTACAAAATTATCATAACTTTACAAATTTTATCATTACTTAACAAATTTTACATCAAAACTTTACAAATTTTACAAATCTACTCGAACAAGTCTGGGTATCTGTAAAATTTAACAACAAACATATACTTATCGGTTGTATATACAGATCAAAAGATGCTAGTTTAATAAAACATGTCGATGAATCCTTCAAACTAGCTCATAGTTTAATTAAATAGCCCTACGATGACTGTTTGATTGTCGGTGACTTTAACCTCCCGAATATAAAGTGGTCTAACGATGGTATTATATCTTTTAACCCAATCAATCCTACGAGTATAATTCCTGGAATATTTTCTAAAACAGCCTTTTTACACAACATATCACATTTCCTACTTTCCAGACTGATTACGGTTCCTCAAATAATATGTTGGACTTGTTATTTACCTACAACAGTAATTCTATTTTAAACTTGTCTCCTAGTACTATACTAGGTAATAACACTAAGGGTCATTTTAGTATCACTTGGAGATTCTTAGTTTCAGAACTGTTCATCGAAAGTGAATCTCAATCGTTTAATTACAAAAAAGGTGATTACGATTCAATATCTAACTTTATTGCATCAATCGACTGGGAGTTTTTATTTCTGCATAAAACTGCAGATCAAATGTTCAACATACTAATTTCTAACTATCGCACTGCTTGCACATACTTTATTCCCAAGATTAATAAAACAAAAAAAAATTATGATCCTTGGGTTACCCCACATATTAAAAACCTGATCCGAGCAAAAAAATCTGCTTGGCATATTAACTGCTCTACCAAATGGCAGAATAGTGAGCTTAAAATAAAATACAATCGACTTAATCGTTCAGTAAAAGCTGAAATATTTAAAGCAAAAAAAGCACATGAAAAAAAAATAATATCAAAATCCCAAAACAACCCAAAACTTGTTTACAAATATATCAACAAACAACTAAAAATTAAAGATCGAATTCTCTCAAAGATACTTCTGGCAGAATTATTGAAGCTCTTCCTGATAAAGTTGATCTTCTGAACTCTCAATTTGAATCTATGTTTACACTTGAAAGCTCTGAAAATTTTCCTTTGTTATATAAAAGTGGTATTCATTCTAAATGCGTTTGTGATGAAAACTTGGGTTTCTCTGTCCCGGATATTATTCAGGAACTTGCCGATCTAAACCCTTATAAATCCTTCGGATTTGACGGCCTGCATCCCTTAATACTCAAGATATGTGCCAAAAGCTTTGCATTTCGATTAACAAAAATCTTTCATAAATCCTTTAATTCTGGAGTAGTACCCAGTCAATGGAAATTAGCAAATATTAGTCCGATCTATAAAAAAAAGGGAGATAAATTACTTGCTGAAAACTATAGACCTATTTCACTAACATCTGTTGCCTGTAAAATCTTCGAAAAACTTGTAAAGAACAAAATTTTAAAGCACATTAAAGGTAATAAAATGCTCTCTGCAAATCAACATGGCTTCCTTTATCATAAATCATGCGTAACTAACCTAATAGAAACTTTTGATATCATTTCGTCCTCCATAGCATCCCACCAATTTATTGATGTAATCTATCTTGACTTTGCCAAAGCGTTTGATTCTGTACCTCACAACAGACTTTTGTTAAAATTAAGATCTTTCGGAATAAACGGAAAACTCCTACAATGGGTTAAATCCTTTTTAGTGGGCAGAAAGCAACGCGTTACAATTAACAATACCAACTCTGCATGGGTTGATGTACTCAGTGGTGTTCCTCAAGGTTCTGTTCTCGGCCCGCTCCTCTTCATTCTCTACACAAATGATCTTGCAAAACTCACTGAAACTTCTGAGATATTTGCCGATGATACTAAACTTTTTTCTAAAACCTTATCGCAATCTAATTTTGTTGATCTGCAGGATCGTCTACGCTTGGTATACGAGTGGTCAAACACTTGGTTACTTAAGTTAAACACCTCAAAATGCTGCGTCATTCATTACGGTCAAAACAACCCCCATTACAATTACTTTCTGCAAAATAACCAAGGAATCAACCAATGCCTAAGAAGCTCTACTAAAGAACGTGATTTAGGAGTCATTATTACATCTAACCTCAAGTGGAGCGCTCATATTCAAACAGTTGTCTCTAAGTCCTTACAAATTCTTGGTATGCTGAAAAAGACATTCACTTTCATTGATGAAAAAATGGCTCTCAAATTATATAAAGTATTTATAAGACCACATCTTGAATATGGAGTGTCCATTTGGGCTCCATATTAAAAAGCTGATATGGCTTTGGTTGAATCTGTTCAACGCAAAGCAACAAAATGTGCTTACAGCTTGAGGCATCTTCAATACTAAGAAAGGCTAAAAAGATTAAATCTACCATCACTTGAGTTTCGACGCCTTCGATGCGATTTAATTCAAATTTTTAAATTAATTCATCGTTTTGATAAAGTTAATGATAAATATCTTCCAAAATATATATATATATTTTTTTTTTTTTTTTTTTTTTTTTTTTTTTTTTTTTAGTTTACATTTGTTGTCGTAGTAAATAAATTACTTTCACAAACACAAACAAGGTTTCTGAAAGAAGATCGTACTGATCTTATCATCAGAACCTTTTACAAACGTGTGTATATAAACTACATCAAAACATAATCAACAAATAAAACGTAATAAACAATAAAAGTTCTAAAGAAAATATAAAGTTAAAAAAATCTGACTACATCATCCATTAAGATAATTAAATTTTTCAGTTTATATTTAAAAATGGGAAAAGTAAAATGCATGTTAAAATTGGACAAAACAATTTTATTCCAAAGATAAGGTGCACGATATGCAATGCAAAACTGATTAAAACTGGTTCGACAAAAGGGCTCATATATAAAATTATTGTTTCTAAGTGTATATTTATTTATTGGCTTCAAACAAAAGAGATCTTTGAAAATGGGTAAAGATATGTCATTTTTCCACATATACATAAAGCACAAAACATTAAAAACATTAAGCTCATAAATATTGAGAACTTTC